ATCAAACATTTTTCAACAAACAATCATTTATGGCTCAATGATTAGATAATTATCGAAAATGTCGTTTTGCCACAAACTAATGCAAGCCGTGCAACACCACAAAAACAAATAATGGGACATCCCAAAAAGGATTTTTCGAAAACTGGAGAGCAAAAATGAGAAAAGTTCAAGAAATTATTGATGATCGAAACTTGAATGATATTACTTATGCTGCTGAGGTAAACTTAAGATTATCTGGAAAAAGAGACGCATCTAACGTAGTAAAAAGAAATATGCAATGTCCAAAACGAGCGACAAGATTGAAAAAAGCATATAATCGACCATTGGTTTAACACAATATACAGGGTCATTATAATTAAAGTTTGACTATGAAATGGCCATAAAAGGAAAACTACTGGACAGAATGTTATCAAACTTGGTAATAATTTACAGGACGTAATGGGATTTTATTTTCCGCAAAAACAAAATAGTTCAAAAACTCACCACCAGCGAGGAATGGCGCTGTATGCAATATTGTTAAACGAAATAAGACATGAAGACATGGGTTGAAAATGTTTTTAATCGTTTCTAAAACGTGTTACAAAGCATGTTCAATGTGGCAGCTGTTTTATGTGGTTTACTTAGTGTTTATACGCCCTTCGTGATGCACTTAAGACCCCCCCCCGCGAGACAGGAATACAAACACTTACTCTGAATGCTTTATTCGGGGTCCTACTTGGACCGGGCGATCTCCACTCTTATACATTAGTCACGGCCATTGTCTTGCACGTCTCTCTCTCTGTAGTGTTGCCAGATCTTACCGTAACATGTTTCCTTTTTTTTGACAAATGAAATGACTAAACACATAAAACTTAAATACATACATACTGTATTTACAAATTGAATCGAACAGGAGGTTTAATTATTTTTCCTGATCTAGTTCATGTCGGAGTTTGAAACTCCTTTTCTTTTGAGATTGCTACTTCTTCTTTTTCCTCAGTTTGTTCCTTTCCATTTTCTCGTTTCTCTTCACCTTTCCCTTGAGGTGCTTTCCGGGGCTGTGATTCGGTTTCAGATGCACTCTGTTTCTTCGGTATTGTTGTCCGTGTGAGTCCATGGAGACTGAGGGGTTAAGTATGATCTGGGTTCATTTAGAGGTTTTACAACCGTTGCCGGGGACCATTCTTTTCCTGTATGCACTAAAACTCGCGTTGACGGTCTCAACGGATTGAGGGGAACACTATCTCTGTCATAATACATTGACATCCTGTTCTGGTTCTGCTCCATTTGTTGTTGGATATCTTCTCTACGAAATTGGAATTGGTGATAATGGGATGATTTGCATGGAAGTGTTGACCTTAAGTTCCTTCCAATGCACAGCTGAGCTGGAGATGGTAACGAGTTCCTAGGAGTGTTTCTCCAGTTTTGCAAAGCCAAATACCGATCTTGACCTGCTTCTGTTGTCTTTTTAAGTATGTTTTTTATTGTTTGCACATGCCGTTCTATGTGGCCATTACTCTGGGGATATCGAGGACTAGATGTACAGTGCCTGCTATTCCATTTGTCACAGAAGCGATTAAAAGCTACTGACGAGAATGGGGATCATTATCAGTTATCAATATTTCTGGACTTCCAAATCGCGAAAAGGTTTCTTTGAACTTGGGAATAACTTTGGAAGCATCAGTCGATGGCATTTTATAAACTTCTGGATAGGCACTGTATCTATCCACACTGTATTAGCAAATATGGACTGTTGGTCAAATAGAAAATATCCGCTGTTGCTTCTTGCCATGGATATGTAGGAATTCTATGGGGTATCAGAGGTTCTTTTGTCTGGGCTGGTCGAAATCTTTGACATCGTCTACAAGATTTTACTACTTCTTCTATGTCACGATTTATTCCTGGCCAGTATACCTTATTCCTCGTTCTACTGAGTGAAGCGTTGATTTCCAGATGTGCAGCATGAATTTGATGTAGAACTCTGGTTCTTTGTTTCTCTGGAATTATTATGGCAGGTCCTTTACATATAATATCCTTTCATAGGTATAGGTCTCTTTTAAAATCGTAGTAGGCTTTGATGTTTGATGGGATAGACTTTTTATGTACCCGCCATTCTTCTGATATGTATTTCTTTAGAGTCTGCAGACTTTGATCTTGTCTTGTGTTTTCAGCTAATTCTATGAGTTTGGTGTCTGTAATTTTCATACCAACTGTTCTTATTAATACTTGTTTGTCTAGGTCTGGTGTTGAAAAATTGGGTGTAGAATGCCTTATGTAACTTGAGAGAACATCTGCAATGAGATTATCTCTTCCCGGCTTGTAGTATAACTTGAAGTCGTAAGCCAATAACTTTAGCATTAATCTCTGCAGTCTAGGAGACAATGCACTTAATGGTTTTTTAATTAGCGTGATTAAAGGTTGGTGGTCGGTATATGCTACAAACGATCTTCCAAGTAGCAGGTGATCAATTTTTTTTATATCCATAATATAAGGCGAGTAGTTCCTTTTCGATTTGGAAATAGTTTTATTGTGTGTCATTCAAAGATGATGATGAAAAAGCTAAGGGTTTTCCTTCCTGTGTAATTGCTGCTTCTAGAGCATGTTGACTGGCATCTGTATGTAGGATTATAATTTTGTTTGTATCATATTGTGCTAACGTTTGAGGCTGCGTTAGAATTTTCTTTATATAATTAAAAATCCTTCTTGCCTCTTCTGTCCATGTCCATTCAATATTTTTTTTGAATAGCTGCCTAAGATTGTGTGTGAGATTTGATAAATTAGGTATAAATTTGCCTAAATAATTCACTAATCCCAAGAATCTTTGTTGTGCTTTTTGGTTTTCTGGTTCTTTTAATTGTTGAATGGCAATAAGTTTTGATTCTTCTGGTTTTATACCGTCTGGCCCTATTATGTGCCCTACAAAGGTGACTTGCCTTTGTGCCAGTTGTATCTTGCTTTTTTCAAATTTAAGGCCATGAGTTTCTTCTCTTTGTAAGACTTTTATCAGTTTTTGATTATGCTCTCTTAATGTGTCGCCGTAGATTAGAACATCGTCCATATATGTGTAAATGCCTTCAATATCTGAAAATATTGTGTCGATGGCTCTTTGAAAATGCTCTGATGCTGTTGTGATTCCAAACGGCAATCTTGTAAATTTATATTTTCCGAAAGGTGTATTCATTATTAACAGTTTTTGCGATTGTTCTTCTACCGGTAGCTGAAAGAAGGCTGATTTAGCATCCATAACTGTATAATATCTAGCTTTTGGAATGCTTGATAACAGTTCTGTTGGCGATGGTATCTGATAATTATCTCTAATAATGTATTTATTTAACTCACGCGGATCCATACACAGGCGTAATTTTCCTTGTTTCTTTTTAACAATGACCATTGGGTGGAGCCAACTAGAAGTTTCTTCTGTCTTTTTTAAGATTCCTTTTCTAACCAGATCCTCTAATTCTTGTTTAACTTCTGTTTTTTAAAGCTTCTGGGATCCTTCTAGGAGGGACAAGTTTTGGAATTGCATTTTGATTTAATTTGATTATAACCTTACGCTTGAGTTTTCCACTTCCCTCAAATACACTGGAATAGGATTCCAAAATATTTTCTGGGTTAAGTTCAGGTGTAATAGAATTTATCCTTTTAATAAAGCTTAGTTTTTTGCATGCATCTCCGCTCAATAGAGGTAGTCTATTTCCTGAAGACAAGGAATTTCGTGATTTCGTGGCTTCCAGACTTGAGTCGGAGGTGACATTCACCGACGATAGGAATTCTCTCGCGTGTGAATGTATAGGCTTTGACCTTAGTCTGTTTTATCTTTGAAGAATTGGTCCACTGCTTCAAATATGTCCAAGAAATAACATTAGTGTCCGCTCCAGTATCTAATTTTATTTTAGTGGGATTCCCATTTATTTCAATGACTTCTTCCCAGTGTTCATGCGTGACTTCATTCAGCACAACGATTCTATCCAATAAATAATCTTCCTCATCTGAGATGACGGTAGAATTAGGATTATCAATTTCGTTTATTTTCTTCGCCTTACATGCTGAAGAAAAATGGTTTTTTTTTTGAATTTATAACAAAATTTGCCAAAAGCTGGACAGTTTCCATACATACATAGTTATAGTTAGGAATTTGTGACATTTTTTATTCTTGCTATTTTTATTCGTCATCACGTATTCGATTTCTTCGATTTATCTTTTTGTCTTGGAAACTGACTTTTCACCTTGTTCACTGTTATTTCTGTTGCCCTGATTTTAGATAATTGGTGCTTAGATAGTTTGGACGCTCTTGCCATGTCTATTGCTTTGGCCAATGTTAATGTCGGATCTTGCAGCATTTTTTGTCTGATACTATCATCTTGTGTGCCTAAGACAATTCTGTCTCTTATGAGAGATTCTGTTAGGGTGTCAAAATCACATCCTTGAGCTTTTGTATGTAGCTATGTTACAAATTCGTCTGCAGTTTGTCCTGGCTTCTGTACAAGCGAGAAAAATACATATCTACTATAGATAGTGTTCTTATACGGCTGGAAATGGTCCGTAAATTTAGCTAAGATTTTATCCACTGTCGGATTCGTGGCATTTTCCTCTAAATGGAAATTATTGTATATTTCTAAGCCTTTCTCTTCGATAATATGGAGCAGGATAGCTCTCTGCTGTGGAATACGTTTTGCAGTGTCGGCTGTGGAGGTAAATCTATAGCAACAGCTATAGATTTACCTCCACAGCCGACTCCACAGCCCTGGTAGCTATTAATATATTAATAGAGTTAAAAGATATAAAATTTAAAAGAACAAAATTGTCGACAAAGAAATACATTAAAATTCAAACATGATTTTTCACTAAATTTTTTGAATTGATTTACAATTACTGTATTATCAGAAAATCGAAAATTGAAATCGACGTTTTACTTAGTTTCATTTTCAGTTTATATCAAACTTTTTAAATTAGGCTTTAAGTTTAATGAATTTCTTAACATTAGAAATAAAGAATTTCAGTTTCTTTTTTTATTTAAATAGGACTTTGACAGAAGGAGAAGAAATATATGAAAAAGGAGTTTCGTGTAGTAACTGTCCAGATGGAATGGGATGTGATACTGTTTATAAACGTTTATGTGGTAAGTAGCAGATGGTACTATAATTTGCTAATGACTTTTGTGGACAGAGCCAGCAGAAAAATAGTTGTCTGGACTAATTAACAGTTTTTGGTCCTTTCGTAACCGTATAATGCTATAATTATTAATTATTATAAATAATTTTATTATTGTTAAATTTACAAGACCGGATCTAAGTTTAGTTTATCAAAACATTCTGAATCAAAAGATTTTTCTGATCTTCCTCTGATTTTAAAAAATTTTAGTAGAAATTTTCCGATAATTTGCAGTGACTTTAGTTATATTAATAACGTACTAGATTTGAATGATTATTTTTTTATTTATAAACAAACTAGCTTGTTATATCCGGCTTAGCCCAGGTTTGTATCCATCATGGTAATTTTTACACCCGGCGTTATTAATCGTAAATTTCAAAAATGTATGAACTTCAGCATGGCTCTAAACTACATGAGAAGTATGTCCTGGCAAATAGCAAGTTTACAGAAAAATTATTAGAATTACTTTGATTCATTTGGTTACGGGTGGGGAATCTGCTAGTTTTCGGTGGTTTTATCCACTTTGCCACTGATAGGTACTTATTAGAATTAAGACAGTACCATTCAGAAATGAAAAAACCCGAGTTGTTAGATGTGACAAATTAGATACTTATATAGTTTTTACAACTTAATACAAGACTCTTTATTGATTTTATCGATTGAAGAATTTTCTTGAGTTCATTGATGAAGGGTACCTTGTAGGCGCAATGCTTATTACTAGCAAACATGTCAGTTTCTTTCCTTATAACGAGCGTTGCGTCTATAAGTTAGAGAAATCGGTTTTATTCAACAGTTATAACTTGTAACTTACTCAATCACCCTTTGTAGCTTGCGAATTTATGCAATATTTATGCCAGTATTGGTTGCGTTTAGCAGACTGAACAGTTCCGGAGCTGTTGAATATTTTTCTGCTGAACGACCTATACAGTAGCGCTGTTTTGGAACATGTTTGGTGTTTTGGCATAACATTTAGTAGTGGGTTTTATGCTACTTTCGGGTAGCTATTGTGAAGGCCCGAAAACACTCTGAAACAACGCGAAATTATAAAGAAATTTTATAAAATGATTACGTATGATTGTTGATATAAACACGTGGAAATTTTGTGTCCATATAAGGAAATGTTCGATGTAACGAGGGGAAAAAAGACTGCTGCTACCACGACTGCCCCTCCTTCCACGACTGTTTCTGCTTCTACTGCTGTTTCTAGTACTCTTAGTAATATTAATGCTGATAATCTTAATACTATTATCACTACCATTACCAGTACAATTACTACACTCCAAACCACTTTTATAAATAATGAAATTTAATTTTTCCATTGGGACGAAGAAACAATGCGAATTTGAAATGCAATGTTATAAAAATTGTTTTGTTTATTCCCATTTTTTCTCGTAAACGTATAAAGAAATAAACTGTTGAATAACAGCATCAAAACGAAACCATAACTAAGGATTAAAATTAATGTTGCCAGTTGAACTATACATTAACAGCGATGTTGAGGCCGAAGTTATAAACGCTAAAACGTGTACGTTGGACGTTCACGCCGCTTTCCTGTAAGCCTAGAACAGGCCTGGCCAACCCGCGGCCCGTCACATTAAATTGTGTGGCCCGCTAAGTGATATTATATATCTATTAAAACTTTCGTTTTCTGTTTTGTGTATACCAAAACAATTAAATAAATGAAAATTTGCTTGTGTCATTGTTATAATGCGCAACTGCAAGTACGAACTCTTGGTATAACAATGAAATAGTAATTCAAACACAAATTATTATTGTATTTATTTTCAGGCACTTGGCAATTTTTATCATCAAATTTTATTTAGTTGATACGTGTTGATATTATTTACATACGTTTCGGGCATTTATTGCTCCTCCTCAGCCAACTTTTTAATTTGCAGGTTATCAAGATATTAAAACCACAAATTTCCATCGCCTATGTTTACTTGTTGTTATGGAATTACAAAAACTTCTTGGCCCTTAACACTCTTTATTTTAAGAAACATACGGTTTTGTATTATCTAATTATCTGTTTTTCGCTGTTATAAAATTTAAACAATTACAAATTTTTCTTATACATTTACAATTAATTTTACAACAATACTAAAATTGACATATTTGTCTTTCATCAAAATCATGCAATTCCCTCTGTTTACAAACTCATTGGGATGACCTCTCTTCCCCCTTTTTTCGTTTTCCCAGTTAAGCGTACCGTTGGTTACGCTTAACTGGGGTCATTTCTGGTCATTTCTACCCTCAAAATTAAATTAATTTTGAATGTAGAAATGAGTTTTTATTTAAAAAGAAATTGTAAACGTTAATAATGAATAAAATCTTTATTAAATCCGATCCCATTCGAGATATCACATATATCTCCACGAATTTTTTCCCCTTTTTAAAATTTTTTGGTTCAGGAAGTTTCAAAACCTGTAGATTTGCAAAAAACGGAGGGCAAAATTTGACACGATTCCAATTCTTTTTCTTGTTATGTATATATAATAGCCAAGAAAGTAAAAGGGAAATTAATAATTTGCTCTAAAGATATTTATTTAATGTTACATAAAATAATAAGCAAATGTAATTATTTAAATAGATTAATTTGTAATGTTAAAACTTTTAAATTATTGTATCAAAATTAATGTACAATGAGATGAAATTGTTTATTGTAAAATTGAATAATATGCAGAAAAGAGCTGTTCAGTTTTCTCATAATTTTGTATAGCTCAACGAGCAATTATTTATTGTGACATCGTCACAATGCTGGGCTGCAATTTTTGTCCCTGTACATCATACTTTTCCTTTGACAATAGAGTCGTGCTGGTCATCTATCTAAAATCTTTCAGGGAAAAGTTTTGAATTGAAATAACATGACTTCCGGTTTTCATTGGAAATTCATATATAGTTAATTGGGATCTCCTGCCCAAAGGTTTCCATACTTGGTCTCATCTTTCATCTATATACAGTAGAGCGTCGATTTTCCGAAAGTCAATCATCCGAAACGTCAATCATCCGAAAGAATTCTAGTCGGCAAATTTAAATTTTCGCCAGTGCTGTGGCGCTTCAATCTTTGGCTGTGTCTTGGGCTACTCAAATATTTTACGTTTTTGATACTAAATTAACATCTGAAGTATAATTTTTTATTATTTTTATATTTTTCAATATATTTATTTTGTTTGTACAAAATAAAAAAATAATTTTTAACGATACAATAGTCTTTGTTAGGCTTAACATCGACGAAAATTCAACGCAAAGCGACACGCAACTGAGAAGAATTTCGACATCGGATACGTTAAACTATTTTTTCGTACGTAAATCAGTTATCCGAAATATCAGTTATCCGGACAACCCCAGTCCCCAATTGATTCGGAAAATCGACGCTCTACTGTAATTCCGTTCTCAAGATTGAGGAAAAAACAGAGGGATAGATGACATTGGGAATTTATAGTCTAACAATTTTTTCAAATTTCAGCCCAGTAAAGATCGTACAATAAATAGTCTTTTCTGATCTCTTCTTCTATTCATTTGTCTTCGATTATGAATTATACAGATGTACATAGGTGTTTCAAATGAAAACCTTAAAAGTGCAATAAAATTCCGAAAAAGTAGTACGATTGATTTGGTAAGTGGCAGAAGTATTCCTTGAGGTTCACAAAATGACAGACAGGTTGCAGAATGATGCTACAACACAGAGGACGCAGCACTATTAGTAGCAAGATGGCTGTTCCACTATCAGCATACACCACTGTAGAGCAGCGATCTCTGATTCGTTTTTTGAGTAGCGAAGGTGTCAAACCTATTGAAATCAATTGTAGAATGACAGCACAGTATGGTGATTCCTGTTTGTCCCTGCTGCAAGTGTATGAGTGGTGAAGAAAGTTTCGAAGGATGCTTCATTACCAGGGCAGGCTCATTGCGTAGTGATGGACAAAAACATTGCGTTAGTGGAAGAGCTTGTAAAGCAAGAGCAATACAGGCGTATACGTATGAACGAAATAGCCACAATTTTGGAGATTAGTTTGGGTTCAGCGCAGAATGATTGTCCTTAATGTGCTGCAATTCAATAAAGTGTCTGCAAGATGGGTTCAACATCAGTTAATTGCTGAATTGAAAGACTGTCACGTCAATGTCTGCGAAGAACTTTTGCATCGTTTCCATGTCGAAGGTGATGCATTTCTGCACAAAATTGTTGCAGGTGATGAGACCTGGGTTCACTATCATCAATCAGAAACGAAACGATAAGCAAGGAATGGCGCCATAGCACATCGCCAAAACCGAAAAAATTCCGCACTTAACCATCAGCGGGAAAAGTCATACTCACTCTGAGCACAGGGATGCAAAGGAAGTAATTCTGGAACATTACATGGATAAGGGAGTGAAAGTAACCAGTACTTCTTATGCAAATCTACTGAAAAATCAACTTTGCCAAGCAATCAGGACTAAGCGATGAGGGCTTCTGACTTCAGATGTATTGTTACAGCATGACTACGCCCAACTGTATATAGCCCGTTTGACAGTTCAGACTATCCAGGATCTCATATTTGAATGTCTCATACACCCACCTAATTCACCAGACCTTGCTCAAAGTGACTTTCATGTGCTTAGACCGCTTAAAGAAGTGATGGGAGGCAAGCATTTCAGAAGTGATAAAGAAGTGAAAACGGTGGCTACTGTCACGACCGAAACATTTCTTTAAACGTGGTATCCATGCACTTCTGAAGCAGTGGAATACGTGCATTCAACGTCATGGAGACTAACAAGTAAGTCGAAAAATGATATGTATGAGTTTTTCTTAATCGTCACTATACAAAATGTATAGCAATTTTAAGATTTTCATTTGATACACCCTCGTAATTAAGTTAACTGTAAGAATCAATTTAATATTTAAACGAAAATAATTTTATAAATTAATTCAATGTATAAAAAAAGATCTGTTTGAATATTGAGAAGAAATAGGTTTGATTTTACTGAAGCATGAAACTTAGTTGAAATCAAATATGTTTCATACTAAACGGAAGTTTATTACAGATATAAATTAAATCATGTTCATATTTGTAATAAATAAATAGTTTATAATTTATTCATGATTTTTTATAGCACCCATAAAAACTAGTACTACTAGTACAATTGCTGCTCCTATTACTGTTCCTGCTTCTACAACTGCTGCTTCAACCACAACTGCTGCCGCACCCACCACGACTGCTGCTGCTCCCACCATAACTGCCCCTCCTTCCACGACTGTCCCTGCTTCTTCTGTTGTTTCTAGTACTCTTACTAATATTAATGCTGATAATCTTACTTCTACTACTATCACTACCATTACCAGTACAATTACTACACTCCAAACCACTTTTATAAACAATGAAATTTTATGGGAATGTGACTTTTCCATTGGGACAAAGAAACAATGCGAATTTGAAATGCAATGTTATAAAAATTGGAAGACAATTTGTGGGTTTGGAGGTATTTTATATTTATTATTAGATTTTTTATTAATTGTATCAAAACAATCTTAGTTTCTCTTTTTTTTCTCTGCATTTTAGATTGCTATCAAGAAATTATAATACATAAGCCAAAGTCTTCCCTACTGTTTATAATACCTATTTCAATAGAGGACCAAGCTTGTCTAATATTTGATTACAAAAAAGAATATTTGTCTATAGCTCAAGATAAAAGTAGATTAATTGCAGTAGCTGTTTGGAACGAAGGCGAAAATTACGCAGCAGTAATTATAGATGATGATGCTGATATTTGGACGATGGTCAGTCTTCTTATTCCTGTGAGAAATCAAGAAATTCAGGTGAATATTAATATTACTTTTTCTGCATAATTTTTTCCCATCAAATTAAATTTTTTATCAGTTTTTAATTAGCTTTTCAAACTATTTATTGATCTTAATAACGTTTTCTTAATAAATCCAGCAACGAGTTGCTTAACTTTCCTGGCAACATTTAAAATTGCATGTGGAGCTACTTGTTATATTTTGTTTAAAACTTTTTATATTTTTAATTATTATAAAATATAAAAAAGCTTAATTTTGAAGTTATGGATGGGTTTTATAAAAAGTTGTAGATGCTAATAACAAGTAAAATCGTCACGAGGAGGTCCGAGCCCACTCGAGATATGACACACTATCACTTTTATCTCTCCACTTCCTCGACCTTTAACTGCAAAATTTAATAAAATCAATCTCCTTGGTACACAAACATTTCTGCAAAATTTCAGAAATTTTTCGACAAAAAGCACAGGAACTATTTAGCTTCAAAATGGGTGAACAAAATCGTGACTGGCAAACACACACTCTCGCATCCCCATGCACAGAAAAACCTCACGAATTTTGTTTCTATTTCTTTTTTCCTCTTTTCAAAAATTTTATAGATTTTTATTTCTTGGACTGATCTTCATACTTTATATAAAACAGAGCTGGAAAAATAAAAATGAAACAATTATTAAATAAATAAATTTCTGATATAATTCAATATTCATAAATCAAATATTTACATTTTATATAGAACTAGAATAATTCAATATTATTTAAAAAAAAAAAAATAATAATAATCTCCATCTGACGAAAATTTACAGATAGAATAATATAGTTATATATTCCAAAAGTGTTTTTGTGTTTCTACATTACATTAGGTACTTCCATATATGCATATGTGCATAATCAGATAATTGGGCTCTTTGAACTTCTGTGGGCACAGAAAAGCCCCAAAATTTACTCTTTTATATTATAAAAAAGAGTCAATTTTGCACTAACAGAAATTAAATTTTATTTTGATAAATAGTAATAAATCTATTTTTTTCTTTTGGAAATTTTTTTGTGAATTTTTACAAACTGTAAATTATGTTTTCCTGTTTTATTGATTTCATTTATGTACTGTACTTTATAGCTTCTGATGAAAGAAGTCCCACATTTATAACTGAAATAGCCTCAATTTACCTCTCGAGACCTCTCTGTTATCAAATTATAGAATTAATTCTTTTATGCCTCAGTCTACTGAAAAATTTCTTGTAAATTAAAGTTCCTTTCTAGATTTTTTTGATATTTCTAAATAAAAAATTTGCTTTATTTATTTTTATACCTTTGAATCATTTTATAGAATTATTAGCAGACCCCGTCACGCGTTGTGGTGGCTCAAAATGTATCTATTATAAATTAATAACACTTCCCCGTGGGGGGGAATTTTTCGAAAAATTTGTTGTTAGTGTACATTCTGTTGATGTACCCTATTAAAACGCAATCAAAAACGCAAAAACCCGCATCTAAAATAGTATAAATAGAAGCAGAGTTCTTTACCGTAAGCCTTAATCCTAACCATCTTCCTTTCAGTGGGGTTGAATTTCGACATGTATATTATATAAAAACACGTGCGTATTTCGAATGCAGCGGTGTGTCAAAATTTCAAAGGAATCGGTAGGAACAAACGAACATTACATTTTTATTTATATAAATAGATAGAAGATGATCTGCTTTAGTTCATTTTTACAGAAAAGCGTAATGCCTTACAGAAAAGCAAACTTAGGGCGTCGTACTCGTAGCGCCATCTGTTGGACATAAAAGCCTTAACCTAGATTATATCTTTTAATTTATATGAATGTTTAACGGAATAATATACAGCCTATGTCCACCGTGAGGTTTCATTCTAAATATTGGTGAAAGAATTTTTGAAATCGGATGAGTAGTTTCGGAGATTACCTGCTGCATACAAACTTACATATATACAAACATTACCTCTTTATAATATTAGTATAGACAACAACAATGTAGAACTTAGTCTTTAACAACAGGCCCACCAGTGGTCAAGCTGTTCCTTTCCCTGAACAATGGGAGTTTGGTCGTTGGTTCGTGCTTTGCCAAGACGGGCTGGCTACGTGGAGTTTTCCGCGTTTTTTTCACGTTTGTAACGCCTGAATAGGGGTCAGTTACCCTTAAAAAGATCTCACAGAGGGCATTCCCTAGACAGATCGCTCAAGTGTTGCGTTGCCATAACTTAATAAACAAACAAACTTTAACAACAATAAATTAATGTGGTGTAATCTATGGATGGCGAACTTATGGCACACGTGCCTAAAGTAGCAGGTTGGGAGAAATCATAACGTACGCAGGTAACGTACATATCATACGATTTCGGTTTATCACCCGATCATTCTTTTTTCAATCAGCTTCTTTACATTTATTCTAATTAAAGAATATTCGTTTCATCTCTTTAAATATTGTTATTTGAAGTAAAAAAACTTCTGTACGCATAAAGATTTTTAAAGATAATTATGCTCATTTATATGAGGCATGAGAACTCTAAAACGTTTGTCATCCCTGGTCTAGTCACATGCACTAATTATTATGATTGACACTTAAAATTCTGAGTTATTCTTGTTATAGATTCTATCCTTTGTAGATAGCTTCTTTTTAATGTTTTATCTAAACCAGGCGTGTCCAACCTTTTTGTTTCTCTGGGCCGCGTTGAAAAAAGTCAAGGAGTTTTGGGCCACAAGTATATATAATATATACTTTTGGCCCAAAACTTCAATACACAAGTATATTTAAGGGTTAACATGTCTAGATTATAATAATTAGTATTAAAACTTCATCATGAAAAAGGATATTTTAAAAAATTACTTCTACAGACACTTTCATTTTTACTTAGAAATAGATAAATTCATTTGTTATAAAAGAGACAAAATTTATTTATTTAAAATATTTTAAAACACAAATGTTTGTTTTATTTGGGTCTCTAATTATTAAATTAAAAAACGACGAAACACCATTTTAAAGTGCATTTTTATTCAACTAATACAATATATTTATAAATAATACGTAGCCCAAAAAGTAGCCAAAGTGCCAAATGATATTTTTTACTTTATGTACTGTACACTCACTCAGCATTTGTATGTAAATCAAAACACAACACCTTAATTTGCTGAGAAAAATTTAATAAAAAGCAAACGTTTTCAGCCAAATCTGTTGGCCAGGCTAAGAATATTCTAATATAAATTAAATAGAACAAAAATTTAAATACAAATAAAATAAAATAACGAATGAAATATATATATAAATGTATAAAGAAAAATAAAATAAAATAAAAATTATTATTATAAATAACAAAATATGTATATGAAAAAATAAGCATAGGTTAATTAAATATTAAAACGTTATATAGAAATTCAATGAAATGCAAGATATGCAAAAAAATACTAAAATCAAGGCATTAAATTAAGAGCTGTCTAATCGTTTAGTTAAGTATTTCCAGGCCGAAGACAACCCTTCAGAATCTCTAGAATTAATGCATACATCATGCAATCTGCTCTTATATATTTCAATTTTTTCGGTGCAAATTGCCTATGTCGGTGAATGTACTGGTTTAATAATACTTGCTTCGTTCCATTTGACGATTGAGCCTTCAACTTGCGCCAATTGCGATAGTATTGTGGCATTAGATTCCTTGCTGATATTGTATTTATGTTCTTTTAATCTGACTCCTAAACTTTTATTAGTGACACCAATATAATTTTTATTAATGTCTAGTTCACGATTTTCATATGGAATCTTGTATACTTCTGCTCTTTTTTCTTTATCTATGCTGTCTTTGTCATTCCTTAATAATTTGTACAGGTTAGGAGCTCTCTTGAAAATTAACTTGGACTTTTTGCGGGCTGAGAATTCCTTCATGATGGCTTTTCTCTTTCTATCATAAGTGAACTTTGTGATTTTGCCGAAATCGCAGTTTTGAGCTTTAGTTTTGTTTATTTTGTATTTTCTAATCAATGTTGTTATCATATCTTCTCTGTACCCTAGAGATCTGGCAATATGTAATACAGTATTCTATTAATTTCTTTTTGCCTATCCAACACACTACTGCAATAGAGAAAGGCCCTTTGGATAAGGGCACGGAAGGCAGCCATTTTGTATTGGTAAGGATCATTAGAGTGGGACGGAATGTACAGAGGGCTATGCGTCAGTTTTACGTACACATTAGTGGCCAAATTTCCTTCTTTAAATTCAATGTCAACATCTAAAAAATGTATCCGTAAGGCACATTTTTGTTCAATCTTCAGCATGAGACCATCATCATTGTTGTTGATCATGTTAATAAACTCATCAATTTTTTGGTCATTCTTCCAAATTACCAAGACATCATCAACGTATCTTTTAAAATACACAATGTCATTTAAGAAAACAGAAGAGCACTTTTTTCCAATTTTCTCAATACAAGCTCACACAAAAGGCCTGACATGGGCCTTCCCATAGGTACTCCTCTTTTTTGTCTGTACTGATGGTCATTAAAGGCGAAAAAAGATTTATAACAAATAAGGTTAGCTAGTTCTATCAAATCATTATTGTAATATGCCAAATTTGGGCTCTTGATGTGCATGAAATCTAAAAGTGCTACCCTGCATGATTCAATTTTTATAGATGGGTATAAACTTTCATAGTCCATCACAGTTCCAATTTCATCGTACATTAAAATTAGATCCTGTGTTTCATTAACCACATCCCTTGGATAATGTGTCACATGTACTGTACACTAACAACATAACCCAGACTTCTTAGTGTTCTCTATACAGAAAGAGATCCATGTCTCTATCCGAAACTGCTTATACAAAAAAAAAATAATAATACATGTTTATATTTAATTTTATAATTTTTTATATTAAATTTGACTTTTCTTTTTAGATTGGATTTATTGTTTGTAAACCAAACAATTCTGAAGGACAAAAGATCTCCATTAGAAATGTGCACGTTCTAAATGGATCCTGCTAAAGTAATCGGAAAAGGAATGTTTTCCAAAAAATATTTTACGACAATATTTTTAATTGGAAATCGCTCCATCTATATTTATAGTAAAAATTGTCATCGAAGTTTGTTCGCGTTAAATGATTCTTTAGCACTGAAAAGTCAATCTTATTGATTATAACAATCAGTTTAAATTATAAACAATATTCCATTTGTAATTGTACTATTTAAGAGCAGCAATTAAATAAACGACTAGAAAACGAATAAGTAATAAATAAATTACCTATTCATTTTAAACAAAAAAATATCTACTTTGTTTTATTTTTGTGTTATATATTTGACAGAAATAAAATAAAATAACGAATGGGTAGACATAATGTTATTTGAAAATCGAATAGATATTCGTAATCAAATATCTACAGATTTGACCTATTTGTTATTTTTATTAATATAACATAAAAATTTCTATAAAACAATGTTTATTTCTCAGCGTCTAATTATGAGTAAGTTTAGACGAAATTTAGATGTAAAGTTTAAAGCTATTATTTACAGAATTATCGTTTTATTTATTGTAAGCTCTTTCACCTAGCTCTGTAGTATATGCAGTTTCACAGGCCAACAGCAGGGGAGAGGAGGGAAAGAGTACGCATTATGTTGATTTTTGTATTAATCAGGTGTTTATTGTTTAATCAGAATACATTTTTATCTGGATATATATCATTTATACATCTTTCCGCTTGGCTATGTTAGAAAAAACAAATATAGTTTTTAGCTTCGACCCCTTTGTCCCTTCAAATACTTTACTTTTACAATCCAGGTAACAAAACTGAGAATGCTTGTGGCCCGAGTCTGTAAAGTTACTTCTGGAAACACAAAAAAATGTTTACTAAGATATCAATACCCTGGCGAATCACAGACCAAAAAAGTTGGATCGGACACACTTTGCCATCAAGAGTAAAATATGTGCACGGGAAATTCTTCAGTCAGTGTTGCAAAATTTGAGAAACACGAAATGCATGCTCTTTAACCTCCTCTCTCCTACATATTATATAGGAGAGAGGAGGTTAAATTTAATAAAATGGATTACAGTCGACCCCCCTATAACACGGTAGATATGTTCCTGTTTTTATGAATCCAGCTTTTAGGAGTCCAGCCAATCACAGTCCGGCACGTTTGCAGTTTACGGACTACAGCTGTTTGAAAGGTTTCTTCCATAAAATTAATCGATTCTAGACTAATCCGACTCAACATTTCCAAAATACGTATAATTTTTTGGGAATAATCCATATAAACTATGCTATAAACAAAAAATTGTAGGATTACTTACCGAGTGTGCTCCGTTCGACTACGCCGTTGCTTAAGCTTGTTTTCGTCGTGGAGGTTGTCATCGAATGGCGCTCGCGTGCTTCCCGATAAATTATTTTTTTTGCGAAAAATTCGCTGAACTTTAGAGACATCATTAATTAATATAAATATAATTTTTATGGACGTTAAATAATAAATGGTTTTTGGTAGGTCCGCTGCTCGTTTAAACTCAACGATTTGTGCAATCCTGTCGCGACACGAGTCAGCGATGACGTTTTCCCGAATTATAGGAGTTTTTTTAGCATGTTTGTATGAATACTGTCGCAATTTTTTCGCCGTGATATAGGAATCCGAACTATAGGAACCCGTGTTATAGGGGGGTCGACTGTATTCTATAATTATAGAATAATCTATTTTCATGTCGATTATTTTAGACTGGATAATTAGTTTTAATAGAATAATGGTGGAGTGAGCAAATAATGAAATAGAATAATGGAATAATAATAATAATAGAATTAAAATTATAATTTTCATTATATTATTATTATTAAGAGTAAATAGGTCCCTATTTAGATTTTTAGACATGTGAAGTAAACCCAGAATACGGGCAGTCCATTGGCCAGGCGCGAAACCCTATCGTTCAGTGTTTTTATTCACCTAGGCTATTTCATATAATAATAATAATAATAATACTGTTCTTCTAAACATAGTTTTTAAATTATAATTTTGTTAAAGAATCTTACCTAGAAGTTTGTTCATAATAAAAACACGAGTATTTATGTAAAAATAGATAATGCCTTAAAAACACAATAAGTAGCATGTGCCTAACTCATCACTAAAATCTATTACCATCATTGACAAAAAAAAAATACACCAATGAGGCAGCATTGAAATCGAATGAAACTTCAGCACACAGACATGTGCTATATGCAACAGATTTGACCTATTTGTTATTTTTATTATTATAACATAAAAATTTCTATAAAACTATGTTAGAAAAAAATAAGTATAGTTTTTAGCTTCGACCCCTTTGTCCCTTCAAATATTTTACTTTTACAATCCAGGTAACAAAACTGAGAAAGCTTGTGGCCCGAGTCTGTAAAGTTACTTCTGGTAACACACAGATGTAACTTTCCCACAGATGTAACTGCCGCTCCGGATTCCTCCCACCCGTAGACGGCTGAAGCTGGTGTCTTATCTGATCCCACGAATGCTTGATGAGTGACAAATCTGGAGACTGCAAGCCAAAAAAGCTTGTAACCTGACGGAGATATCTCCCAGGCCGTATCTGTGTCAAGCGGAGTATTGTCTTTTTGGAAATGATTATTTGTAGCCTGTCATAAAAGTTAGCATATGCAATGGAGCGTTTCGAAATATGGCTCCTTAGGTCCACAACATGCAGGCGTCTCCCAAACTAATAGTTTCACTTTTGTACAGTACAGAATGATTCTATTTTATAATTTTAATTCTACAATAGTTGTATTTTTATAGATTTTTAAATATCCAAAAAAAAAACATTATTGAAAATCCATGACTAGTAAATTAATGAAACCTGGATAACTCGAACTAGGAAAACTCGAAGTCATTTTCTTACCCCGACCGTCCAACATGCTAAATCAAACAAAATTAACTCGAATTCGTCGAACTATTTAACTCGAATAGGGTTTTGAACAGTATTTTCATAAACATTCCGAAATTTTAATTTTCGATTAAATAAAATAAATAATGTTCATCTATAATAGAGGTCCCCAAAGTGGTCGATATCGACCCCAAGAAGTCGATAAGACTAAAGAGTTCTCCAGAGGTCGATTAATACCAAAGAGGATCAATTAAACTGTCTAGGAAAAAAATAGAATATTCCAATAAAAATTCGAAATACGGATATGATTAACATTACTGATTTCCCTAGTTATAACTTGAGTTTTGCCTTAGCCTACGCCACTTTAAGCATGTTTTCACGCATCTGGCAACTGTACTAGTATTGCAAACATGTTATGAACGCTGGTGGTTCACAGACATACGTTGCACTGTTACACTCTAGTAGAGTTGTCACTTCAAGTATTTTATATCTAAATGTAGATATTTTGTCCTTTACAGAGAAAATATCGTAATATATCAAAAATCATTAATATAGTACAGAAGCATTTGCAAGGAAAAAACGTTACAGTTATTCAAGCTCGAACAATCATAATGGCCTTTCAAGTAAAAATTGAGCTATTTAAGTCTTCACTGGCACGATCCGATTTTAAATATTTTTCAAACTTGCGAGTACTGAAAAAAATGAAAAAATTTCCGAACGTGATTTGGAGATATATATTAAACATTTTGATAAATTAAGGGAAGACTTTAAAGCGCGTTTCGAAGACTTGGAGAATATGCATGTTTCCGAATGGTTTGCTAATCCATTTGATGTAAAAATAGATAATGGGTGAACATGGTTTAGAAGATGAACTGATTGAAATATGTGTAGATCTTGAAGCTAAAGCGTTGTTTAAAAAATAAAAACCTTAGTGAATTTTGGAGCAATAAGAATATTGCCACTAAATATTCCAAGCTCAGAGCAGAAGCCGAACCTTTCTTACTTGCATTCCCAACTTCATACATGGTTAAAGCTGGTTTTAACCACGCGAACGCAATTTTGACAAAACAGAGGAACAGATTCAGCTACAAAACAGAGGAACAGATTAGTGGTATTTTGCGACTAACAGAGAGAACAAATTTGATAAAACAGAGGAACAGATTAGTGGTATTTTGCAACTAAAACTTACTAATTTTCAACCGAATATCAATAATCTTGCTGCTTCTCTTCAGACACATCCATCCCATTAATATCAAACTATTTTAATAAAAAGGTATGTTAACATATTTTTAAGGTATTCAGTAGTAGTCGCAAAATGACAGTAAGAGGTTTTTTTCATCCAATATAACTTGTTTTCAAAGATAATTGTGTTTTTTACGTATTATGACATGTACGGTTTAAATTAAGAACTATAGGCAAATTTCCGTCCATCCATAATTTTGCAATTATTTTTTAAGATTATAAATCAGTGGATAATATACTTTTCTGTTAATGTTATTGGGTGGATAAGAATGGAATCTATAAATTCTTTTGTTGGGTTGTTATGCGGATCTCCTTATCGCTTAACATCAAAAATGCAAAAATGATTTAATGTTTTTGTTAAATACTTAATCTGGGGGACGATAAGAAGGCAAATATTCTATAAAGGGGTCGACGGGATTGTTTAAATTATTATTTATTATTTTTTGGAAAGTTTTTTAATGTTGAGAAGGCGCTTTTTTACGCGCCTTTTTTTGGGTGATGTTCGTTGGGCGTGGTCGCCATCTTGGCTGTGGAACGGATTCGAGAGGAGTCCGGGCAGTATTATCGGAGTGTTTTGGCTTGTTGAAATTAATAAAGTTGTTTTAACAGTGCAATTATTGTGTGCGCTTGTATACAGTCCATTTTCGTCATAAACAGGGATAAAAAGTTTGGGGATCCCTAATCTATAAGCATGAACTAGTCAGAAACCTTATATAAAGTGTGGAAACCACATACGACTAAAAATAAACATCGTGCCTTGTGACAGCGTGCGGAGTGGAGGCTTCCAGTGTGTGTGAATACAAACGAACTGCCATTCGCATCTGAATTTTTCGAACTTTTTTTTATTTGATCGCTGATGAATTTCTCCAACTGTCTGATGTAATGAGGTCCTTCTCTCAAACATTTTGTAGATATCTATCCTTTCCAAATGTTTCAGCCCAGGCAGTTCTATCACACGGTGTGGTAGTCACCTACGAGAAAACTTTCTATTTCATCTAGCAGGAGATAGCCCGATATAGTAAGCACAGAATTCTAAGGAGTGAGATAATTGTAGGGATTTAGAAGAACCCTACAATTTTTTCACTGCTTAGAAATGAAAAAGACGGCATCGAGGGAAAATAGTGCCTCGGCCGAAACAACTTGAAAGGTTACATAGAAATGTACTGTACAAACCCTTCGGGAAAAGTCGGTAGCTCACTTCGAGGAGACAGACTCTATTTCGTCAGGCTGGAGAACGTATAAAAAGTTATAAGTGAAGGTTTCTTCTTCCAGTAGTGAGACTAGTAATATTTATTACGTCTTTTTTACTTACGTACAACTAGCAGAGACCGAGATTAAAACAGTTCTGTTTATTTCGCCTGTTTAACAATGCATTTCGGATTGGTAATTTTCTAATTTCTATTCGCGCTCACGGCTTCAGTGTCTCCAACATAACGAACAAAAGGTTAGTTCGTCTTAATATATTTTTGTTATGCACAATGATGGATATACAGGTAACCCCCGTATAACACGGCACTTCTATAGCACGGATTCGCTGGTTCAAGAATTGGTACCATCCCCCGTATAACACGGTACTTTTATAGCACGGATTCACTCTGACACGGTTCGAGAATTGGGTAAAACCCTCGTACAACAGGAAATGTAATAAATTTTTACATACTTAACTAATAATAGTTCACGAAAATTATTATTTTCGTGAACTATTAGTACTTAAGTATGTAAATTTTCTCTTCTCGCCTTCTATCGATACACGTGGTCCTTCTCAAAACTTGTTTCAATGTTGCCAGATCGCGACGCTTCTGCTTCTGATGTTGCCGAATGTTTTTCTTTTATTCCATACTTACTTTATTCTTTATAAGTGCTTAGCACCATATAAGGAAATTTATAAAGACCTTTTAACTAGAAGCGAGCAATCTAAAATTACATACATTTTGCAAAAGGTAAAGCATGGATCTGAAGATAATGCAGAAAAATGCTCAGAGGATAAGGATAACTTGCCAAAAAGAAAACGCTATCGGTTAATTAATAGTGTTTTTAGTGATGACGAAGAAAATATTGTTTAATTTATATTAATATGTATCACTTAAAAAATTTTAATGAAGATATTTATCTTAATTATGAAAATATACTAGCATATTTTTTAATTTTTGGAACCTAACCCTCCTTTTCGTATTAGTTCTTTGTTTCGTATAACACGGATTCGCATAACACGGCAATTTTTTGGAACGTAACTACCGTGTTATACGGGGGTTACCTGTAGTGCTCAATTTTAATGGTATAGTTTCGTTTGTACATATCAGTCTCTTGCACTTACTGGCATGTTTTGTTTGTATATTTTTTATGGGTAAATGCAACTCTTCTTCCATTTGTCACAATTATTATCTCCTTATTATCTCTTAGAAGGATTTTAACTTCAATATTGTGGTTCATAACATGACAAAGATCAAAATGTGCTTTTTCATCGTAAATGTTTCCACAATTTGAAACCAAAGTTTTTACAAATTATAAGTACGAGCAATTATTTATTGTGACATGGTCACAATGCCATGTTGCAATTTTTAATTTCATTGTAAAATAAATCTTGTAAAAATTTGATTGGTTTGGTTCTATTCGTATACAACAACGCGGCACATGGGCGATCTGCCGGGGGAATTTTTCTCGGGTGGAGTCTGTTATGAGAAACTACTTTCTATTTAAATGTAACTAACTTGAAGAAAACCCGAAAAATTTCATGTATCCCGCCGTTGATAAGGCGCGAATCTACAACCAACTAGCAGTGTCGGTGGTTTTATTCATGGATTACTGGTGAGCGCGTAAAGATTGGGATGTTTGTATTATATTACTTTTTATTAGAATTTTCCTTGGATATCTTCTTATTTGGGTATCTACTTTTATTTTTTTTCTTATTAATATTCAGTTATTGTTATTATAGTTAATCTTATTGATATTTTATCAAATTTATGATATATAGTTAACTTCAGTTACAAATGCATTAATCGAGTCATAAAACACCATTGGGTCCATGTTTTACGGAACCAAGTAAAAATATATAAATGTGGGGTTTGTAACGAATTTCAAGACACTAATAGCAGAGTCGGTAGATTAACTACCGACTCTGCTAATAGCCGAGTATTAACCAAGCGAGGATCCTCGCGCGAATTGCAAATAAATTCGTCCACGAAACCGGATTTAATAGGAAATAATTTAAAAATTCATTTTTCAAAATTATTGAACGTCAAAGTTTATAATTATATTTGACATTTTGTAGAAAACTCGTAATGAAAGCGTGAAAAATATTCTGCCTGAATTATCTACGTTACTATTGCTTACTATTGTCGAAACTTTCACCAAAATGATTAAATTTAAATAAATTTATAAATAAAAATTTTAAATTAATCAGATTTTGCAAAGGAAAAGAAAACAATTACACAATATCAGAAGGCTGCGGTAAATTTCTGATTTGTGTGGAATACGCAAGGTGGCGCAATAAGTAAAATCATTACTGACATATTAGTCCTGTTGCGCGAAGTAAAATCGTTTTGAAAGTTGTAAATACTTAAGTTATTTTTCTTATATTAATAAAACTACGTTTAAGTTTTTTATTTAACAATGGCTGTTCATTCGGCTCCACCAAAACGTAAAGAAATTTATAAGTATGAAGCTCCTTGGACTGTATATTCAATGAATTGGAGCGTTAGACCAGATAGAAGATTTCGTTTGGCATTGGGAAGTTTTATTGAAGAATATAACAATAAAGTAAATATCTTATAAATGTTTTACTATTGCATTAAATCAATGACAATATATGTATTTATTTAAGCTTATTTATATATATTTTATTGTGAATCATGATTACTTGTTTGATATAACTTTCAGAAATATATACAGTAAAAAATGTTGCATTTCAGAGTAAACTGTTGGTGGGTATTTGGCTTTATTACAGCTTGGTCAAATGCATTGTTATAGATGAGCATAAAACTATAATGGATCTTTGGATTTTCATCCTTTGAAATTAATGTATTGAAAATTAATGCAACATAACACTTACTTGGCAGAAAGAATAATTCGTCACTAAACACCTTTGGTGCTAAGAAACACTTATTTGCTTATACTGTATTTATATAAGACAATCTCACATACAGATGAGGCGTGACTTTAAAGATCAAAATAAAATTAGATTTATTAATTCAATTCTAATTTTGTTTAATCACAAGTAAAATATTATTAAATGCACACATTGTTCTGCAAAAATTACTGGCATTTTAAACTTTAAAGAAAAATTTTGTAAAATTGACAACATAATTTGTTCGTATAAAGCTGGACAATCGGGAACCTTTTTTTGGCAATTCTTAATGGTTGAATCCACACTTATGAGTTTCTCCAAATTCTGATTTCCGAATAATTGTCTGTTTTCATGGGAATGGATTAAAACTTATATTGCATTCCCGTGTGATTTTGGAATTTCGATTGGAATTTAATTCAAAAGTTTTGCTTTTCCTATTTCTATTCATCTTTACTCTTGACAATATACAAGAACGATTCAAACGATCCAGTTAAAATAGTTTTGTTTTTAAACACTAAAGTGTGAACATCTGATAAAAACTGCAAATACACGGTTCACAAAAATTATTGCAAAAAGACAAATAATCCTTCACTCGCGAGTATAGGATGACCTAGGTTTTTGAAGCAGAGAAAAATGAATAAAAACCTTGTCTTATATGCGAGAAAATATGGTATACTGATGTTTTCAGCCTAATGTGTGGGCTGTCCTTAGGTGACTGAATAGAATGCGTCATATACAGAACATTAGAACATAAAATTGTAAATATTTGAATATAAAGAACATAAAAATTCTAAAAATAACATAAAGGTGATGTAAAGTAAAATATAAAAGTAGAATAAGAACTAAGTTTTAAATTCAAAAATATATCTTAGCAAATGTGGTAACTAGGAGTTTCTATAATGAAGCTTATCTTTTACAATGAACTTTCATGCTTATGGTAAAATGTATGCATATCTTGCATTAATACATTTATTCCCATGGATGAAACTAACTTCTGATACTGAAGCTATATTGAGGTAGTATATTGGACTATTGATTGACTTATCTAAAATGTAGTGTGTCCCTAAAGTCTTGACACATACAAAGATACATATTTTCAAGAAATAAAATTCATTAACAATAATTTATTTAATTGGAGTATCAAATAATGAATTAAATGACATTAGCGTCCTTGACTTTTTTTCTGAAAATGATTTCCATCATTTTTAGAAAAAGAAGTCAAAGGGGCTAAAGTCAAGTGAACAAGGAGACCACTCTACATGACCATGTCTATGCCCATGTCATATGGTCACATGGATGTGAATAATATGAAATACTAGTCCAATTCTTTCTTTATTCAACAAAGCCATATTTAAAGTTGAGAAAATTATCATCTAGGCGTTAACAACCTACATCTATGGCTACAAACAACCATAGTGATAGCTGTAGGTTGTTAACGCCTAGATGATAATTTTCTCAACTTTACTTATCCAATATTCAGCTGTGAATTCCAATATTATTTTTCACTTTTAAAGCCATATTTAATTTGTGGAGAGAAAAATTATAGTTAGTGAGATTTCCTGTGTGTCCAGACTTTAGGGACACCCTGTACATTTGCAAGAGCAATTTCACCTTGCAACATATTGTTCAATTGGCTATTAATGCATTCTGCACAATATATTAGTGTCATCCAGTTAGGAAGTTGAGGACATCAAAAGCCTTGTACCTTTCTAGATGACATTTGATACATCATTCCCATACATTTATGCAACACACCAAGCATTTGGGGTTGAAACTCAAATGCAAGAGTGTCCCACCTAAATTGGGACATATGGCCATATTAGTATATCAGATAAATTATGATATTTTCTATAAAAAGTTGAATAAATGTCTTAAAAGAAGTTTATTAATTATATTAATGAGTCTGAAATAACGATTCTAGCATTTTTTTTGAAACATTTTTATTTTTATTTTATTGTAGATCAGTTTTAGTATATCATTTACAGTGAAATAAAAAGAAACAACAATTAAATGATATTAACTTGACAAATTAAACCTGTAATTTCTATTATTTAATTTTTTTTACTTAATTAAACAAATGTTTTCAGCTAATTTAAATAGGTATCAAGTTGTAACTACTTTTACTATCAAATTCTGGAAGATTGATTGAAAAATGTAATGAATGAATGGTTTTATATTTGTGCTTGCTTTTGTTTTGTAGGTTCAAATAGTTTCCTTAGATGAAGAAACATCAGAATTTACTGCAAAAAGCACTTTTGATCATCCATATCCAACTACCAAAATTGTGTGGATTCCAGATACTAAAGGCATGTATCCGGACCTTCTTGCGACAAGTGGTGATTATCTAAGAATTTGGAGAGCTGGAGAAACTGATACAAGATTAGAGTGTTTATTGAATAATGTAAGTTGTAATTGTGCAAACATTTTTTGATAACTTTAATAAAATTTCAAACTTAAATGGTGACTGATAAAGTTCAAATATTTTAGTTTCAAACATTATATGAATTTTACAATTCTAGACAAATAATTTAAAAATTCATATAAGATTTAAATCTAATGTTATATTCAAAACAAAATATACATTTTATTTATTGGGTTATCATATCACATGTTTATCACTTTAATTTCAAATGTTATTCATTTGAAATTAAAATAAACAAAACCATTTTCCCCAAAAAATTTTTTACATAAAGCAATATTGGGAAAAAGTATTTGAACAGCAACAATACAGGTTGAATGTCAACTTGTATTCAGTCATCGATAATCTGTTTCCTTCAGATTTAGGCATGGATTTCAGAGTTCATTTTGAAATTTACTGTATTGACGCACTACTGTTTTCTGGAGGTGCCTAACTAAAATTCTGTAGAACTGTTTTATTTAATTGATGAACATTAAAATTTCATTTGCTTTTCATTTAGTGTTCAATTTTCTTTCTTTAAAGGATTATACAGGTAGTAATTTTCTGTTAAATGTATACGTCATGTATAACCATAAAAAATCCAGCACTCCTCAGAAGGTTTCCAGATTTTTGAATGTCAACCTGTAATAATAAAAGGATCTTTATATTCAACAAAATAACAGGAGTTAATATTTTGTTGATCTTCCTCTTGATCTTATTACAGCTTTTATTTATCTTGGCATTGTCAAATTGCCAAATTCATTGAAGGTGTCTGAAAATTATTTTACTTCAGCTAACTGTAATAGCTTCTTTAAGTTTGTCTTTATTAATTAGTGCCCTTTTATCAACCAGCATTTTCAGCTTTGTCCATAAATTTTTAATATGAGTTAAATGTGGGCTATTTGCAGGCCAGATTAATGTTTTAAAGTTCTTAGACTTCAAAAATTCTTTTGATTTTATTAATAGAGAGATTGTGGCTGATATTTTTATCACAAAAATGTGAATGTCGAATGTTTGGAGCCACCTTCCTGTAAGCCTAGAAGTTTGACAATGGCATTTGGAATGTTGAGCATGATTCCACTGACATTCCAAACACCATTGTCAAACTTCTAGGCTTACAGGAAGGCAGCACTGAATGTCTGACGTTCACATTTTTGCAATGAAAACGTCGGCCACAACCTCTCTTATAAGAAATTTAGCAAACTTTGCCTACTTGAATAAAAAATTTATTTTTTTCTTTCTAGAATAAAAACTCAGATTTTTGTGCTCCACTTACTTCTTTTGATTGGAATGAAGTTGATCCAAATTTATTGGGTACATCAAGTATCGATACTACCTGCACCATCTGGGGCTTAGAAGTAAGTAAAAATTATTTTAATTTAAATTCTAAAATTTAGCTTCAATATAAATTGTAAATGTGTTAACATATTATATTCTTGGAGAGAATAGAAGTCATAAAATTTTAGTATTAGTAGTTAAAGATTTAACTACTAATACTAAAATACAATACAAATTTAATACTAATACAAATTTAGTATTAGTAGTTAAAGATATAACTACTGATACAAACCTTTAGTATTAGTAGTTAAAGATTTTGCAAATAACATTTCCTCAATGATTTTGTCATTTTTAATGTATCGCACATACACCAGTAATAACGCTTCATTATTGCGAACTATACTTTCATCCAATTGTAATGTAAATTCTGTGTTTTGAAGATCTTCACAAAGTTGTTCTTCATCATCATTAGCCATCTCATCAATTCATCTGGAAACAGTATTGTTGCTTAAAGGAATGGAAGAAATTATACTGTTTGGATTTAATGTAGTCATATCACTTAAAATTTCTCAAACAGCTGGAATTATTAATTTTTCCCCAATATTATGAGGCTTGCCACATTTTGCTATTAACAATGAAATTTTGTATGAAGTCACAAGACCCTTGTTAAGTTGAATTGCCGAATCCTTAAATAAATTCACAACTGTTGTACGATTGTCTAACTTCTTTTTTAAATTAAGAAAATATTCAAAATCTTTGTACTTCTTATTGGGATGTTTTCTTGATAAATGTTCTTTCATTCTTGAAGGCTTCATTCCTTCGTTTGAAAAAACTTGATGACATTCAAGACACATTGGTAACTGCTCATTACTTGGCGAAGCAATAAAACCAAATTTTAATTATTCAATGGAATATTGGCGACATTTTCGTTTTTCAGACATGGTTTAATGTACTGTTTAATTTTCTAAAAAATAAAAAAAAATAATAATAAGTAAAATAAATAAACTATTTTTTATATTTTTATTACTTTATTCCTTTTTAAACATAAATAAACTTACACTTCATGCCAGCGTAGAGTAATATATGATTAACACATCAGTATGATTCACATTCGAAATTTATAGTATTTGATTTTCACCGGAGGATGACAGCTGTAAGCTGTTAAAAGTACTTGTGAGTACATGTGAATTTTTTCAAATCACTGCTTGTAATGCTGCAACACTGATGTGTTAATCCTATATTATTTTATTCCTTTTATTTTCTTCTTTTATAGTCTGCACTTTGTCTTTAATCATCATTAATATTTTTAATTATTATACTGTGAAAGTATGGACGACCAGCAAATAAAGATCAATCACTTTATTAGTTGAATAAATAGACAGAGGTCGGAATGACTGTCACTGAACCAATTATATATATAGAATTACAGAGTCTCATCTCTCGTTCAACATTCTCATGACAAATTAGAAAATAAGTAACCCACTTAAACTAAGATAATTACAATTAAACTTAAACCTAATACTATTACTAATAGAGAGAGAAAGAAGGATAAAGAATGACTAGAAAAGTCTACCAGTAGTGAATCGGTGAGTCCTGATACTTAGGTAGATAACGATGTTGGTCACTTCATGCACAGCAAATTTACAATCTGTTAGCATCGGGGTTTTTTCAATATAATTATTATCGAACACATTCCTTGGATCTCTCCAGAACAGCTATCCCAATTAATTCTTGTCTCCACTCCTACTTGATCTCCCTTGGCTTGTTCTCTCTTTTCCCTAAGCCTTACACACGCTACTCCATCACTCTTGCTTGACCTTTCTCCTTGGTGGCGAACCCAAAAGTGTTTTTTCTTCTCTCACCACATATCTCACCCTACCCTTGGGCATGGCCCCCTTTTCGTCCCTTTGTCAATCAGCTAATCGGGATCCCTGAATATTACAATTCCTGTCATGTGACAGAAAAGGGTTAAAAGTGGAAGGAAGAAGGATTATAGGAATGCTATTTGTTTAATTATTGTACAGTATAATGAATAAAATATCTAATTATTCTTAATGTAATGTTTTACTATATCGCCCCCCAGAAAATTGAAAATTGTCCCCCAAAATATAAATTGTTACTAATAGCTCCCAACATAGAAAAATCACCCCCATTGAGAAACACTGGTCTAAACAAAACAAAAAACTTATTTTATTCTATTGAGTAGCCATATTTTTCCTAGCAAAATTGAGTCATGCAGCTTTGTGCTCAGGCTTAAGAGCAGGGGCACTTCTCATTCGAGACCGAACAATGTTGAACAGTTTCGTGATGTACTTAAATATCCAAATCATCCCAAATTTTGTGTGGACGCTGTAGAATTAGAAGCTGCATTAATAATTCATCTGCGGTCCTTCAGGGTAAGCTTTGAAGGATATCCACTTCTATGCTTTGGTCCATAATTTGCAGGATTTGACAAATAATGCTGAATGATCTTTTTTTGAATGCTTGATGATGATTGCTATTGCCTGATGACTTAAATCTGTGCTTCTCAAAACTACAATTTGTCCTTTCTTAAAGTCTGTTAAATGACATGAAGGAAAAAAATACCATGAGGCATGATGAAAAAACTTTCATACTTCAAACTTGTGAGAAAGATGGTGGTTCTATACTTATGTGGCAGTATGTAAATTGACTTCCTCACTTTTTGCAGTCAGCCACGAATTAGTTTCCTAAAATTACATTTTTATAAGTTAGGTGCTGAATTACATGTAAAAAAATCTATTTCTATTTATTAGTGCATGTTCTGACCTTAAAATACAAATTTTTTGAGCAGTTCTATGCTTTTGTGAAGATTTAAGCTCTTTTGTGAATTTAAAAGCTTCAATATTTTTTTCAATCATTATTTCCCTTCTTCCTCCAGTTTCTCCTTTCTGGGAGGTCAAAATTAGACCTTTCAACCCTTCAATTTTCTGCATAACTTCGAGAAGTGACCTTTTAAACTTTCAAATACATCACAGACGACAGATAAGGTTCTCCCCTCGTGACTGAGGATTATTCATTTTCACCTTCATTATGATCTACAAATAACTAGCCAATTAACAAGAACCTAAACTTGTTACACGATAGAGGGTAACAAAAAAGGTCACCAACAAGAGGAGTCTGAACCAAACAAACCCATACACTTCCTATTTTGTCCAATTTTAACATTGATAAAACCGATCAGATGACCCATCAAATGAACAATTATTACTAAGGTTGCACTACATACTCTGACCTTAGTCACCTCCAGCAATTAATTCAGTTGATTTGACAGCTGTTATCAATTTTATGAGGTAGAATGAGTAACAATACTGGATAGAAAGAAGTAATTTAAAGAAATGTTTGATTTCTGACAATTAACATAAATAACGCCCAGACGCAAATTGAACTTAGATGGGATTGCATCAGAACTTCTCTCGATAGTTCCCCCTCCATGATGTGAATAAAAAGGGATCGCACTCATGCATCAGGGTGATCACCATAAGGAAGACTCCAGGCTGGTAATGATTTGGATCCCTGCTCTGCACTCCTGAAGCAAGACTGCTCGGAACTTGATTGCCACAGCAGAAGTGATAATTACTTAGAAAAATTAAACTTCTCTCTTTCTCTGTTATAAGCTAGATTAAGGTTAATTTAACTTAAAGAATTTTGGGACCGATAAAGGTTCAGAACTTAGATGGTCTATCGATAAGAACAAAGTAATCCTTGTCGCGACCTAGAATTTTTAGCTATTTCCATCTTTGTATCTATTCGCTTTTGTATTCACTGTGTATAATTTTTGTATTTTATTAAATATGTTATTCTTATGTTTAAATATGTGTCATCCTTGATTATGGCCGACACCTTGTCATGACCTCACCAACCCTCCCACTTGTTTACAACATAGGCCATCCCCTGACAAAGAAGCCAATAAGTGGGGATGAGCTTGCCGTTCAACCCCCTCGGTTCACACTTTTGTGGAGCATTTTATATGCCATTTTATATGTTATCTAATAATATAAATATAGCTTTTTCTAATTCTAAATTAAGTTTCTATATTTTTATACTTTTCTATCTATACTAATATTATAAAGAGTAACTCCAGTGATGTGTGTTTACAAAACAGTGAACGTAGCCTGATGAAGGCCTGGATGGGGTCGAAAATGTTTGCTGTTTTGTAAACATGTATCACTGGAGTTACAAAGCTTTTTTTTTTGGTATGATGAATTATATTTCCTCCAGTATTTGCTAAGAGGTTCATTTGAATTATTTCTCATTGGCATGTTCTTGTATACCACAAGTCTGTTTTAAATCTTCTCAGTTCTTCTTTGGCTTGCATGTCCTCGCTTCCCTCAGAATCTAGGCATCTTTTAATTTCTATTGTATATGTTAAAGGTATTTTAATTTGAAACTGTGTGATTCTCTTCCCTTGGTATGACAAGTCCTAGTTTACAAGAAAGTCCAAAATGGACAAAGCTATAATATATAAGTAACTAAGGACAAGAAGTATGTATCAAAAAAGTTTTTTTATAGGGTTTTCATGCTCTAACCATTGTAAATGTCGTTTGAAGTTATGAAATTAATAAATTGAAAGTGTAATTAAAATGAAGTAATAGAATGCAGGTTATTTTTATTATTAAGTTTACTATTATAAAGAAAAATTAATTACCGTATTATAAGTTATATATTTATAATTCAGGTTACGTGAATTATTATTATTTACTTGTTAGACTGGACAAGTAGTTGGAAGAATCAATCTTGTTTCTGGTCATGTTAAAACACAGCTTATTGCACATGACAAAGAAGTTTATGATATTGCTTTCAGCAGAGCTGGCGGGGGTAGAGATATGTTTGCAAGTGTTGGTAAGTGATTTTTATATATATTTAAAAATAAAATAAATAAATAAATTGCAGTTTGATGAAAATTTTATGTACAGAATAAAGTATTTTCTTTTCAGTTGTCTAAAATAAGAGTTGCCAGCAAGTGAATATAGTTAAACTAATACAGTAAAGATGTAAACACAAAAGGGATACTTGTATATGAAGCACAAATTTAATTATTGAATCAAACTTCTCTCTATTTACAATTTTAGTGACCCATGCTATAGTTCTGATAATCTTGGTTTCTTCTGCTTTTGAAAAAATTTACATCTAAGGGTAGGATATCCAAATGGAGTCAGTTGGGAGAGATGATTTTATACATTTCATTGTTCCCTTTGATATAATGCAGAGTGGTCAGATTGTGATCACAGTGTAAATTAATTTTAAGTACTGATGAAAGTATGGTAATTGGTTGTAATTATTTTTAATTTTTATTATCAACCATAATGAATATAACAAAAACCAACATAAAACATACATAAACAACAAAAAAAAAAACAAGCAAATAACAAGCAGCAATTGAATACAGCTCAAGCAAACACCATATGTAAGCTGATTTTAAGCCTTGCCATGTTGCAGTGGCCCAACTTAGTATATGTACTAAACTCTGAAATATGTTCAATTGGGAAGTAAACATGAAAGTTGATTTTTTTTTTTTTAAATTAGTTTATGCTACAGTTATGATCTAGCCACTCTGTGGTGGTCTTTGTTTTGTTGATAATGTTGTCTTATTTACACTACAAAGAATGATGACTTGTCAATCTTACTATATGCAATGTAAGGAAGTTTGATCTTTTTCTTAGCAAGTCTCATGCAATTTGCATTTCAACTAGACAAACAACTCAGGTTTCCACTGTATTTAAAGGATTGAGTTCATATGTTCCTCAGCTAGTTGGTAGTAGATGTTTCACATTCTCATGGGTCCATCTTAGTTCTGCACTTTCAGGGAATGGTGATACAATGGGGTATTCAGTCACCTGCTTCCAGAAAAACCAAATCAGCAGAGCAAAAATGTAAATTGCTCTATTATCTAGGATATGTTAGGCTTAACTGTTATCATATTAATTAATTTAAAATTTTATTCAGTACCCCATAAGATTAGTTTGATGATTTTGTTTAGTATTAATTTTATAATTACTGGATATTATCTATAAAATTATATTATTTTAAGATGTATCAAAAACTTTATTTACTTTCATCTGGTTATCTAACTTGTGTAGCAGTTAAAGATTTTACCATATTAAAAGTATTGAATAAATATAATTATGGCAACTTCTTGCATAATTTCATTTTTTTAAGATTAGTGCTTGCATGGCAGAAATATAAGAGTTTGTCAAATGAAAAGACAATGAGCATTGTAGCAACCACCTCTAGCAGGATAACAAAAAGCTTGTAATGCATGTTTAATATTGGCAACATATGTGATGTCACGTGTGCACGACATGCATGTGACAATAAGCAATATTGGACAGGTGACATTGATAATAGGCACAGTCAGTCCTATTACCATCCTAGCAAACTTGCTAAATAAAGAAATGGAGTTTTAACTGGAAAATTCATCTACTGAAGAACCATGTGCAGTGATACATTTCCTAATCACTGAATGCAACAATGCCAGTTGACATTTATTTAGATTGGTTGTCATGTAAAGAATATGTGCCTTGGAAAATAATCTACAAATGATGTATATTGTTCTGGAAAAGTGGTAAAAGCATTCCAGATGACACATGATCTGATGAAGCAAACATTGTGATCACTCTCAAACTCATTGAACAAGTATTATACATGGACTTGTGAAAGTAGATCATTGTGTTACAGAACTTGAACTTGGTGCCAGTCATGGGATCATTTGGATGATTATGCATGAAAGATTTGAACATAGGAAAGTGTGTATTCAGTGGGTGCTGAAGATGTTATCAAAAACCCAAAAGAAGGGTAAAATGAGTCTATCATTTCAACATTTGATAGGTTATCACAATGATCTAATGTTTCTCAAGAAGCTGTTGATGGAAGATGAAAGTTGGTGCCATCATTTTGAGTTGGAAACTAAGAGGTCCACCATGCTTTGAAAACATCTGGCATTTCTCATGCCAAAGAAATTTAAAACTTAACAATTGCAGAGAAAGTCTTATTAACTATCTTTTTGATGAACAAGGACAATTGCTCATTGAGTTCCTGAACACAGATCTACACTGCTGCATACTGTCAGATATTGCAATGCTACCTAAGGTGACCAAAACAAATATCTAGGATTGTTAACCTATAATGACATATTGTTATGTGATAACACCTATTTACAAGTATCCAATGAAAAAATTGCTTCAATTGAATAAATTCCAAGGAGAGTTATATAATCCTAATGTATAGCCCAGACCTTTCATTTTATGATTATTGTTTGTTTGGCCTATCAAAAGACATCTGATTCACATGATCAGATGTTGAGGTCCAGAATAGTGTAACAGATTGGTTGCTCCTAAAGCCCAAAGGCCTTCTTTGAGCAGAATGTAATATGACTTCCAAAACAGTGGAATGAATGCCTTCAGACTCATTGCAATTACTTTTAACTGAAATGTGTGTGTTGTCATCAGGAATGCTTGTCATCTTTTTGTTTGACCACAGTTTATACATTTGCTTACACTGGTTGTTTTCAGTTGCCATCTTGTTTTAATTTATATTGATGATTATTTCTTTTTTTATAACTTAACTTATTATTTTTGCTTTATATTTCATATTACATTTATGATATATCATTTTCTTTTACATTCTCATTGTTTTAAGATTAATATTGGCATTTACAGTATGTAATTATTGATTTTGATCTTTAATCCATCCATTAAAGAATTATATAAAGTATTTCAAATCATAACTTTGTGTATGTGTTATGTGCATTTTATTTGAATTATTTAGTTATGTATTTTTTAAATTCAAATTGTGTATATAAAATTCTCATTATATATTATTGATTAAATTTATTGGCTATAATGATTATTCTATAAATGTATTGGTTTATTAGAATTAATATTAAAGATGTAACTATCCTTGTAAAATAATTTTATACTTACAAGTATAAATATTTATAATAGGTGCAGATGGTTCAGTCCGGATGTTTGACCTTAGGCATTTGGAACACTCCACAATTATTTATGAAGATCCACAACATCATCCTTTATTAAGACTTGCTTGGAACAAACAAGATCCAAATTATTTAGCAACATTTGCAATGGATGCTTGCGAAGTAAATTATTATTCTTTTTTACTTTTAATAGAACACTGCCAATTATAAAAAGTTCTTAGTTAATAAGATAAATGTCTTGAAGAAAATAAAGAATGGTGATTAATGCCATGTTTAAATAAAAAATAAAAAATTTAAATAAAATTAAAATATAAAACTTTTCATATGTTGATGCTGTTGTAAACATCATCAAGTAAGTTTTTGCTTAAAATAGGGAGAATAATTACTTTGCTCATTTTACTTTTCAAATCCTTCAGTGTATATGCTAATGAAACATCCACAATCTTTTATTCTCTTAATGTTAGCTACATTCTGTAATTGTGCTTTTCTGTGAAATTGTCCAGAGGTTAACTATTGAAAGTCACAAATTTATTTTTCTGTAATAATTTTTATGATTTCTATCAATGTTGAATTTCTGCCATAGAATCTTGAGTTAAATTTAAGTATATTACAATTATTATTATGTCTTGATCTAAAAAATACTTTTTTGTGTTTTAGCAAAATAGCATCAATATTTAGATGAATAAATTGGAAAATCTTAGAATGATCAGATATGTTGACATAGGGGAGAAATTTGTATAGTTGCCTTGAAAAATATCACTTTTCTTCAGGAATGAAACTCTTGTTGAACTAGTCTTTTGACTAAAGTTCTAATAAACTTATAGTGGAAAAAATAATCCTTTATTTTTAGAATGGAAATTGAGTGATATAAACATGAATATAATATTGGTAAAGCAATTTTCACAAACATTGCTTCATATGAGATTGATCAGTTTATTCTTACCTAATTTAATATTGGAACAATTTTTTCTTATCTTTTGAAATAAAATTTTTTAAAAGGAATCTGCTTGCAAAACAAACATTTATCAATGTTAAAACCCTATTTCAGCATGAAATTCTCCATTTTTAATTTTCTGAAAAGAATATGTGAATCCTGAGTTTCTATAAGCAAATGTTCCTATTGCTTTCTACAGTTTTTTTTAAACTTTCAAACCATTCCTTAAGTGCTTTATTGGAACTAATAAAAACAACACAAATTTTCAGGGGAAAAAGTTTCTAAGCACTTTCAGACAATCAAGACATCTTCAGGGAAATTGTTATAAATTTAGAGAAATTAGTTTGTAGAATAAGCATTTTTAAATTTGTTAAATATATCATTAGGAACATGAAGTGGTAACCAATTGTTCAGGATCATTAACAATTATTTTCAAAACGAGTTGTGTGGAATCTAAAACTAAACAAATGTAACTAAAATTCAGGAAAAATATTAACTTTGTTTTCATTTGATAAAATTATAACCTTTATATCATAAACAAAACATTACTTTTACTCAAGAATGGATGATGTGCAACAAGTTCAATTTGTCCCTGGACAAATGTTTAGGACCAATAAGAAAATTTAGGAAAAAAAAACTAATATTTTGTTGGATAACCAAAGTTTTTTATCACAGATAAGCAATGGTAAGGCATGGAGTCCACCAATCATTGCAAACACTCAGCTGGAATGTTTTTCCAAGCTTCTTGAATTGCCACAAATAGCTCGTTTTTATTCTGGTATTTTTTATGTTTCAAAGCAGATTTTACATCACCTCATAACATTTCAATAGGGTTTAAATCTGGTGATTGGGCTGGCCATTCCATTACCCTAAGATGGTTGTCCTGAAATTTTTTGACAAGTTTACTGGTGTGCTTTGGATCATTGGTGTGCATTGGTCTAGTTGGAAAATCCACTTCAGAGGCAAATTATCATCAGCAAATGGCAACATTACATCTTCCAGAATTTGTTTATATCGAAATTGTTCCATTATCCCATTTATGAATGAATGGGTCCAATTCCATATGAAGAAAAACATCTCCACACTATTGCATTTCCATCTCTAAACTTTACAGTAGGTTGAATACAATTAAGACGAAATTCCTCAGCTTTTTGTCATCTTATGTATTTGCGACCATCACTCCCAAACAGATTTATCTTCCTTTCATCCGATCACAGCACACTCTGCCAGTTTTGACTTGTCCAAGTCAAGTGTTCATGACCAAACTTCAGACGAGCTTGTCTATTTTTCAGTGATACAAGTGGCTTCTTCCTGGCAACTCACCCAAATAGATTAAATTCATTTAATCGGCACCTAATGGTGTGGGTACTAAGTTCAGGCATCCCAGGTTTTATCATTTTAGTTTTGAGATCCGTTGATGTTAGTGTGCAATTTTTTTTTTTTTTTTTTTTGCTATTCTGTGAATTCTACGATCTGTTCATTTGGTGGTTTTTCTCTGTCTTCCAGGTTTAGGCCAATCCAAAAGACATCCAGTTTCTTCCCATAGCTTCACTGTGCAAATACATGATGTTTTGCTGCACCCCAATGTTGTTGCAATTTTGGCATAGCTGACTACGAAGACTTACAATGTTTTGATAAAGATCAGGACTCAAATTCTTTCCCCTGCCCATTTTTAAGCAGAAAATATATATTACTTTAATTGCATTTTAATGTTTTGATATGTTTTAGTAAGTTTTTGGAATGTACTTACTTTGTTTGTAGGATTTATTGTGAGTGGTCCTAAACTAATGACCAGATGTATGTGGGTGTATTGCTAAACAACAATAACATAAAAAGTGCTCAGCAAGTAAACACAGAAATTAAAACACCTTAATTTGTTGCTGAGAAATACATTTGAAAAACTAACGTTTTCAATCTGATTAACAGGCCATCATCAGGTCTAAAAAACGAAAATGGAACAGATACGTTCCATGTATAGAATATAAATATTTAAATCAAAATATAGAACAAAAATTTTTAAAAATATACAAGAGAAACGGAAGAAAATATAAAAATAACACAAAATAAAATTAAAATATACAGGAGAATATATAAAAATAACACAAAATAAACTAAAAAACGGTAACAGGAATAAAGAAATTGACAGAATATTGCAAGTAGCCCAGACCCTAGGCTACAAGAAAAGCACCATTGTAGGATTACTCAAAAAATATGAAAGGAACAAAGAGAAAAAAAGCTTAAATACCGCTCCTAATAGACGCTTGAAGTTTACATATAACAATAATTTGAACAGCATTATGAAAGAAGTTGCTAATAGGAAACAAGCAAGAATGGTTTTAAAAAGAGCCCCAAATTTATATAAGATATTGAGGAATGATAAAGATAGAATAAAAACAGAAAAAAAACCAGGTGTCTATAAAGTTCCTTATGAGAACATCCAACTAGATGTTAAGAAAGACTACATCGGCGTCACCAACAGGAGCTTAGGAGTAAGACTAAAAGAACATTGTTATAACGTAAAAAAAGGATCCAATGCTACAGTTTTGTCACAAATGTCGCAAGTCCAAGGTTTGGTGGTGAAATGGGACGAGGCTAAAACCAGTGTCTTCCCCCACTTTATCAATGACGGCGGAGAAGATTGAAATATATAGGAGTAGGCTACGTGAGGGATGTTTAAATGCGAGAGATGCTGAGAGCCTGTCGTCGGCGTGGAAATACATGATTAAAAAGTTCACTGAAAACTCAAGCTAGAATTAGTTTATTGGAAGATTTATTATATTTATTATATATTTTTTATTTTTTAGTTTATTTGGTGTTATTTTTATATATTCTCTTGTATATTTTAATTTTATTTTGTGTTATTTTTATATATTCTCTTGTATATTTTAATTTTATTTTGTGTTATTTTTATATTTTCTTCCGTTTCTCTTGTATATTTTTAAAAATTTTTGTTCTAAATTTTGATTTAAATATTTATATTCTATACATGGAACGTATCTGTTCCATTTTCGTTTTTTAGACCTGATGATGGCCTGTTAATCAGGTTGAAAACCTTAGTTTTTCAAATATATTTCTCAGCAACAAATTAAGGTGTTTTAATTTCTTTGCTAAACAACTTGTAATTTTTCCACAGCAAATTATGCAAATTACTTCGTTCTACAAATGTTTTATACAAATACAAACAATTGATTTTTGCATAATTGTTTATTTAATTCCAGGTTCTTTTTTGTATTTAATCAATGATTTTTGCCACAATCATGTTTGGTCCTAAACAATTGGCCACTGCTTTAAGACTTGACATTATAATTAATATGGTCATATATCTGTAGTTATTATATTGTTATATTATCTGAATATAATAATAGTTGAGAAATCAGACACTGCACTTTTTACACATTAGGATTTGGCTATATGATTCTTGAGGGGCAGGTAACTACCCCTCAAGAATCATATACCTATATATATTTTTTAAAAATTGTGCATTAATTTTCTAAAACTTTTAGTATAAAATTAAAATCATTATTATTTTAACAAAATTTATAAATGAAATTCATAAATTTGTGAGCTGCCGGGGAGGTCGGAAAGTTTTCTCCTTCCGGCCACAGGTCGGTGACCTACTTTCTTATCAAGGATGGCGTTTCGTTCAGTTACGCGAGTGGAGGAGAGTCGGAGGGGTCGACGATAAGACGTTGGCTAAGTCGAGTAACGACACCATTTATAAAACAAAACAAGAGTTTATTAAACTAACTAACTAAATAAAATCTTACAAAACTCCTTAGACTTAGCGGAAGAGAGAGAGAGAGTTCACAATAATATATCATACCTCTGAGATAATATCGGAGGGATACTTCTGACTTAAAGGTTTCGAAAAGCAGTGCTCGGGGTGGCATAAGGTCTTCCAATTAAGGGCGTACTGCAGGTATGAGGGGAAGATATGGCCTGTCTTTGTCATTGTCTGTTCGATTGGTGACTCCCCCGAGAGGGGAAGGAGGATGGCTTTTATACATTTTGTGGTGGAAAAATTTGTCAGGTGACCAATTGTTTTAGCAGGTGTGGGGTTAAAGTTGGTGTTAGAATGACAAAAATATGACAAATTTCGCCGATAATTGTAAACTATACATGGTTTGATCGTGAGAATGTTTATAGTTAAATAGAAAGAGTTATAAATTTCTCATATGCTTTATATTACAGTTCTGTAGGGTCAAATTCCTTTGGTTAAAGGAATTTTTTTATTAAAATTTATTAAAAATTTAAAGGATTACTTTCTTTTATGAAATTATATGAACTTCAAATTTCACACATTTAAAAATTTTATTAGGTTATAATCTTGGATGTCCGCGTTCCATGTACTCCAGTCGCACGTTTAAATAATCATAAAGCCTGTGTAAATGGTATTGCATGGGCTCCTCATTCTTCATGTCATATTTGCACTGCAGGTAAGTTGTAATAATTTTAATAATAATTGTAATGCTTCTAAATATTTTTCTTAGTTTTACCTTTACTTTTAGCTGATGATCACCAGGCTTTAATATGGGATATTCAGCAGATGCCAAGAGCCATTGAAGATCCTATTCTAGCTTACACAGCTGAAGGGGAAATTAATCAAATTCAATGGGCCAGCACACAACCAGATTGGATAGCTATATGTTATAATTATTATTTAGAAATATTGAGAGTGTGACATTAGTGATGTGGGGAGAAATGTAACATCTCCTCTAGTGGTGAATGTGTGTGTGTTTGATTGAGAAAAGAATGTGAAGCATGGTGTGTATGATTAGAAAGTTTGAGTTATCCATTTAATTCAATCCCAAAGTTTGTGTCACATCAGTGAATTAGATGTGATTGTATATGTTATATTTTGTAGAAATTCTGATTTTATTAAAAATAAGTTAATTGGCAGAAAACTCTACACATTTATAGCATATAAATCTACATAATAATAAAACTATTTGTGTCATCTTCTAATAGAAAAATATATATATTGATAAAATACTTTATTTGTAGAAATAAAATAAAAATTAAAATTTATCTGTACTCTATGCCATTTTATATATAAATATATGCATATATATTATTATTATTATTATTATTGTACTATATATATATATATAAATATACAAATGTTAAATTTTTGTTTTAACAAGTCATATGAGTAATTTTTTTTTTAACTCCAGAATTGTTTTGATTCTGTCACTTTGTAAAATACAATTTTATGTGATAGATTAAATTAGATAATAATAATAATATAAAAATCTTTTGAGAATTTTTTTCAATTATTAATTTCAATAATTTAACTTTTTTATAGTAAACAGTATCATAACTTTTTAATGAAAGAATGTACAGAAATTTTTTTATGTTAATTGTTTACTTTTCTCATGGTTCACTTAAAATGTTTTTTAATCACATAAATGTCTTTTCATTTATTTTATCATTTCTCATTATGTAATATATTTAATAAAGTTGATGTCAATAATTTTCATTAGGAAAAAATAATAATGTTCTAAAGTTCTGAAGTTAAAGTTTCTGAAGTTTTTTAGAGAACAATCTACAATAAAACACCATAGATGATGATGATTAAGAAGTGTAACATAGCATTTTTTTTCCTTAGTTTACTAATCTAAAAATGAATTCCAATGGTACCATTAGACTCATTTGTGCTTTGGGGAAAAAATTCTTAGTGAATAAAATTCAGTTCATAATTTAATTTCTTAAAGTCTGTTGGTAAATTTTTCAATTTTAATGGACATTATACTGCGTATTATATGTAAACTTTGGCCTATTGAAACTCAAGATGAAAAAGTAAAAATTTTAGTCTGGAACAACTAAACACTGCAACAGTAGATTATCAAACACTCAAAACACCTTTGTATGTAGCAAAAACTTTTAATTACTGATGTTTTGGTCCTGTTTAAGGACCATCTTCAGGTAAAATACAAAAAAAGAACAACATAATGTGAAATAAAATATTTACATACTTTATGAGAAAAAATATTCAGGAACATAGAATGCCAGATGGTTTTAATTAAAAATGTAGGTGAAAAGAATAAAACATAAATTATGAAAAATACAAAAATAAATATGTAGATAAATGATAAAAATACATAAAAATATGGAAATATGCATAATGGTAAACTAAAGGTAAATGTAACAGAAAAATATTACTTAATATGTAACAATAGTAAATAATGAAAGCAAAACAAAAAGCATTATCCCAAAGTTAGAGAAAGAAGCCTTCCTTGTTAGACAGTGTTCAGCTCATAAAAAGTCAAAGTTGTCTTGTCCCATTCTACTTATCCAAGTGATGAAAGATTCATCTATACTACAAACTGTACAATGGCTTCTGACCATTTACAATCCAGAGTCAAACAGTTTACTTGCATGCTTTTTGCTCACTAGCTTTTCATGAATAATGCTGTTCTAGTGTAATGTTACAATGTAACTTATTCTGTCTTACATCATTAAAACCAATATTTTATTCAAAAGTATCAATTTTTTTTTACTGTTGCCTGTTATGTTCTTATTTTATTTAAATATGAAAAATCTTATTTGATTTGAGTCTAATCAAATCAGCCTGAAGAGAAGAGTTGTAAACTATCGAAAGTACTTGCAAATTTTGAATAAAACATTGGTTTAAAGCTGTAAGACAGAATACATTATGTCGTAACACTACACTACATCATTATTTAGTGAGAGGTGCAATTAACTTTCTTATAATGCTGTTGTCCTTTCCTCTTTCATGTCAAGGTTATATGAATTTGTTAAAATACCTAAACTAGATAGAAACTTAAGATCTGTTTCTAGACAAGAGCTGCTTGTCTACCATCCTTGTGAAATGTATCCTCAACAAGTTTGATGCTCAGCACCTTCCTACCTATGACTACATCATCACACAACCTTTAGTTCTTAAGAAAAAGACCTTGTTCTGCTTGATGAAGTGTTTGACTTTGAGGCCTTATACCCTTCTATAAGGTTGGAATCCTGTTTTTGTCACCTCAGGAACTTTCTCCTTGACAAGTTTGACCAGTCATCTATCCTGCATCCACAGTTTTTGAATTGGCACACCTGGCCACATTTTCCTTCTCCTTCATATTTGATGACACCACCTACATACAGAATAGAGGTATCCCTATGAGCAGTCTCCTTTTGGGGGACTGTGTGATTTGATATTAAAATTGTTGGAATCTTCAGTTTTGCATAAGTATGCATCTAACATCTGTCCATGTCTAGTACATTGATATGTACAGTAAAACCTGCTTAAACCAGAATCTCATGATACTAAATATTTTTTCTGGTTTTGAACAGATTTTTTTTAACATAGACCTTTCTCCCATTTATGCAGGTTCCCTTCTTATGCAAGTTCTGTTTTGGACATGTTTTACTGTATTGATTACTAGCTGTTACCTGTGACTTCGTCCGCAGTGGTTTTGCAAGCAAACCCCATTCATATTCAGTATTTCAACAACCATAGTAATTGTTATATAACACCTACTGTTGAGAATAATGAGAATTGTTGAGAATCAAACAAACTATTTTCAATTTGATCAATTTTCTGGAGCATTTATAATCATTCTATAATTGAACCAATATGCAATAACAAATTTGAATTTAAAACAGTTCGAATATTTGGTTAAAAAATCGAAATATATAAAAATATTTATAACAATTTCTGAAATGTTATCAATTTAATGCATCTACTCAATGAAGACTAAACGTAGTTGAAAACAAAAAATTGCATCTAAAATAGTACAGTAGAAACCATTCATCCGGTTAAGCTTTAATGCTCTCCCTCTCCCCGTGGTGGAATTTTGAAAAATCCCTTTTTAGTGTGCGTTTTCATGACGTACCCTAACTGTGTGCCAAATTTCACCTCTTTAGGTTCAGCGGTTTGCTCTGGGCAATGATGAATCAATCAATGACTTAGTCAGTCAGGACAAGTTAGTCGCTGTTCATTTCTGGTTGTTTATAGAAAATTTCCCGCTTGTAAAACATACAGTAGTTTGGATTATAACTCTGAGAGAATTAGCACATCTTAAGTTTTCCAGGCAAGAGAATGTCATCCTCAATGCTAGAATCACTGTCTGGATGGGGTTCATCTTGAAATGAGAAATCTCCATCTTTGAATTTCTTGAACCAGAGCGTAGCAGGTCTATTGACTATGACCTTGCCAAATGCCTTGGTTACATTGTGGCCACTTTTGAAGTGATAAGTAATTTTAATCACTTTGAAAATTAATATTAAATTGTATTTGTAATAGAATTGCTTGATGATATAATAATAATTTATTCAAATTTGATATTAGATTTTATTGCTATCTTAGTTATAAGTCTTACTGGGAATTAAACTCTGTCCAAGTTTATGAGTCTGAATTAATCTTCACTCCTCATTAGTCTGAGTTAGCAGGGGTTTGCTGCATTTTTAAAGAATTTGGAGTTGTTTCTCATTATTGATGTAAGTTTGACATTCTATTTTTTCTTAATGAAAAGCTGTTTAATAGAATATTTTATTATACTGTATATTAATCAAAATCAGATGATGCTGAAATGTAGGCAAGTATTGAAGAGGTAAAGAAGTGTTGTGTTTATATTCCAAATTTGTTTGATGATCTCTGGGGTAATTCTGTCGAGCCCAGGGTCTTTGTTATTCAGGTTAGTGATTACTTTGCGAACTTCTTTGAGTATGAAAGGGGGTGTGTCAGGGGTCTACGTTTATCTTGACTCTGATTTCACTATGAATGTCAAGATCTTTGTTTTCGTTATCTTCTAAACACAATTTTTGAAATATAGCTTTGATGGTAGTTTGCAAATCATTTGTATGCCCTTTTGTAGTTTCCATGGTGGTCATGTCCTCCTTTCTTCGTAATCTGTTACAGCTCCACTTGGTAAGAAACCACCAAGGGTCTTTGTTAGCTCTAGTGCAGTATTCTCTCCAGGATTTCGATTTAGAATCTTTTATGTAGTTTTTGTATTCTTTTTGCAGCTGTAAGTATTGTTCAAAATTTATGCCTTTGTGTCCTTATAGTTTTGTACTTAAATGTCTACAAGGACTTATTATACTGGGACCTGGTTCTGCAAATTAAGAAAACAATTCAGAAAAAAACAGTTGAAAAATAAACACTGTTCTTTCTGAATTGTTTTCTTAATTTGCAGAACCAGGTCCCAGTATAATAAGTCCTAGCAGATAAGCCCAGCATTGCTCGGGCAAAAAGTAACGATAGTCTAGTAAAAGTCTAAAAATATGTTTGATTTCCTGCAAAAATGCAAAAAACCACATCTGCGCCTGTAAATCTTGCATGTCGCTTTCTTTTAACACTTCCATTGTTAAGGAATACACTTCTTTCATCCCCATGTAGTACCCTACTAAAATGCAGTTAAAAACAAAAACTTGCATCTAAAATAGTACAGTAGAAGCTGAGTTCTTTAGGATAAGCCTTAATCCTTTCCCTCTCCCCCACAGGGGGAGTTTTGAAAAATCCCTTCTTAGTATACATTCTCATGACATACCCTAACTGTGTATCAAATTTCAACTTTCAACTCCTAACCGTTTGGGCTCTGTGATTATTATTATCATCATCATCATCAACCCATCTCGATTATATTATAAGATTAATCAAAATCAATCATTTTAAAAATTAAAATTGTATAATTTATTTTTATTTCTACTTTTGTAATTACAATAAGTTCTTTACAAACATTATAAAATATTTATAACCCATCTCTATCTATTGGTGGATTTGGATCATCATATTTTTTTTCAGGCCTAAAAATAAAAATATTGTAAATGAAATAGCATTTTTATATTAAAAACATATGTAAATTCTTCACTCACTTAGGATACCACCGATGTTTTGTAGTAAAAGTAAGAGCTTGAAGTTCTTCCATATTTGGTCCTTCTGGCCTATAACGATGATGATCTTCTAATCGATATTGTATTTTTAACAAAGAATCTCCCTATTTCAAACAATATTTTTAAAAAATTGATTATAGTTAATAAAATATTTTTCTATTTTTAAAATTACTTACTTCTTTCAGTTCTGGTTCAATTTCAGGAAGAGGCTAAAATAAGTCAAAAATAACTTTTAGTTACAGCAAAAAATTACCATCATATTTCTTCAATATAGCAGAATGTCAATTATCTAAGATAATCAGGTGATAGCAATTGATAGGGAAACAATAAAAACATGAAGATAAATAAATACTTAAAATTAATATTTTTATTTTAAATCAACACTTTACAAAGAAATACACGCCAGTTCGCAGGTGGGATCTGCAATCCTTCACCAAAAGGACCCGTTAACTTCTTCTGTGGATTTGCATGAATTTGTGAAAAGGGTCAAGAAAGGGAAAGGAAGGTAATTATGTAGAGATAGGAAACAAAAAGACTTCACGTTTGACTCAGTTGTCTCTTCAACTCAAGTTTGCTTCCATAGCAACTATTCTTTAAGTTAGATTTTTTAATAACAACCTTTAGTTATATATAGAATACAGATATAGTTTTAGTTTTTATATTATTTTTAGTGATTTTTATCTGTATACAGTATATATTAATAGTATATATTACAGTATATACAGTAAAAGCAATATGTTATTTGTGTGTAGTGATGTAAATCAAATTAATTTTGAAATATATTTTGAAATTTTCAAAACAACTTTTAAATGGTTTTTAAAAATGTTTTAATTTTCAAACAATTTGATTTTAATTAGTTTTGATTCTATTTTTTAATTCAGTTTCAGTGTAAAGGCCAGAGTTTTAATTAATTTAGTATTAATTTAGTTTTATGATTATTTTTGTTATTAATTTATTATTTATTTAATTTTGCCATTTTTGAATCCTTTATTATGATTTTTTTAATTACAGTAGACCCCCCCTATAAAACGGGTTCATATAGTTCGGATTCCTATATGATGGCAAAAAAATTGCAACCGTATTCATATAAACATGCTAAAAGAGAATCGTATAATTCAGTAAAACGTCATTGCCGACTCATGTCGCGACAGGATTGGTCAAATCCAGACAATAGCTGATATTGCACAAACCATTGAGTTTAAACGAGCAGTGGACCTACTAAAAGCCATTTATTATTTAACATCCATAAAAATTATATTTATATTAATGATGTCTCCAAAGTTCAGCAAAGTTTTCGCAGAAAAATAATTTATCAGGAAGCACGAGAGTGCCATTCGATGCACCGCTCCATGACGAAAACAAGCTTAAGCAATGGCGTCGTTGAACGGTGCACACTCAGTAAGTAATCCTATAATTTTTTGTTTATAGCATAGTTTATATGGATTATTCCCAAAAAATTATATGTATTTTGGAAATGTTGAGTCGAGTTAGTCTAGAATCGATTAATTTTATGGAAGAAAACAGCCGTAGTCCGTAAACTGCATACGTGCCAGGCTGTGATTGGCTCATGTATTTAAGGACTCGTAGAAAATGGATTTCATAAAATCCGGAATGTATCTACCATGTTATAGGGGGGTCGACTGTAATTGCAACTTTTTTTTCTTTTGTGACATAACTACTGAAATTGTATCAGCATTGTTTTGCACAAAAGATAATCAAATTTAAATTTATTTTAATTTTTTTAGCAATTTCATTAATTTTGTTTTATAAATTTGCCTGCTTTTTAAATTTTTTTTTTAAATTTTACTTATGAATACCTAGGGGTATTTATAATTAAATACTATTGGGATACCTAGTTTAGTATGATAGTAAAAAACAGTAAGGAATAGAAATTTAATATATATGNTACTCAGCAAATCACTATACATATAACTAACACCTTATCCTTGCCGAGAAATATAATTTATTTCAAACAAACGTTTTCAGCCTGATTCACAGGCCATCTTCAGGTTTAAAAATCCAATATTAAAAAGATGCATTGCTTTTTAAATTTTTTTTTTAAATTTTACTTATGAATACCTAGGGGTATTTATAATTAAATACTATTGGGATACCTAGTTTAGTATGATAGTAAAAAACAGTAAGGAATAGAAATTTAATATATATGTTACTGTTAAAGTGTTGAATGCCGTTATTCTATAGAATACCTGACTGGTTTAGGTAAAGTATGGAGTGAACTAAAAATTACATAGTTTAAAACTAGTTATTCTATGAATTAACCAACCAGTGTGAGTTAGAATATGAAATAAAAGTAATAAAATAAATGCATGTTAAGCTTGTCAAATTATTATATGTAATATAACTAGCAGATAAGCCCAGCATTGCTTGGGCAAAAAGTAATGATAGCAAAGATTAAGATTATTACATTACAGCCAATCTTATCCTTTTTCACAGAATACAAAAATTAGGTTTCCATTTCCGGACTAATTAGAAAATTTTTAGATGGGTCTAAAATTATGTTTGATTTAATGCAAAAAACCGCATCTGCTCCTGTAAATCTTGCACATTGCTTTCTCTTAACACTTCCATTGTTGAAGTCTTAATCCTGTCCCTTTCCCCATGGGGGGATTTCAGAAAATCCCTTGTTAGTGTGCATTCTCATGATGTACCCTAACTGTGTACCAAATTTCAAGTTTTAACTCCTAACTGTGCTGAAATGCTCATATACACGTGTGCCATCTATCGTAGGATAAATGTATTATGCCAGAAACCTTTGCAGGAGTGTATTAAACAACTTCCCAAAGTTTCATGTTAATTGGATAAATGGTATAGTAATGCATGAAGGACAGACACACACACACACACAGAGAGATTCTTTTTTATATATATAGATAAATAAATACTGTAATATTATAATAGTGCTGGAATGGCATTTGAAGTTACAGAGAATATTATCTTTATAGACAAGCACATCTTTTGTTGTCTCACTATTTTTTACATGAGCATTTTTTGAACCCTGACCTGTACCACCACTTTGGGTTGTAGCAACAGACTGGAGTGGTATCTCAATGTCTAGTATTTCATCAATTGATATTGATTTTTGTTCACAGTCACTAAATTGATTCCTGCAATATAACTGTTTGAGGCACCCATTTCTTGTTCCCAATCAAAATCCTTCACTAGTTTCTTCTGAACAGTAAGAATGGATCTGGCATCTCCTCATCTTCTGTCAACATCAAGCAGCAGGATACAAACCATCATTCCATATAGATGCCTCAGACTGTGATTTTTCTGACAGTATTTTCATTTCCTTTGCTTGTATTTCCAAACATTCTTTGGTCTCTTTCTTTCTGGATATTCAGTTTATTTAAACATAACCTGCAGATCTTCTGTTCAATATCATCATCTGAATGTAGCTTTCTAAATGTTCCTCAGAATTTCTTGAGCAAATGTCACATAATATAGATGTGGTTTCATCATCATTCAATGAATCAAATCTTCCCTCAGAATGGGTGTTGTTGACAAGCCCATCTTGCTGCACATCCAAACATAGCTTCATAAGGAGATCTCTTTATACCAGAGTGGAAACCTCTACTTTTCATGAACTGAATAAATTTTAGACCATTACTCCATGTAGTAGATAGAAAATATACTGACAACCTGGATGAAAGATAATCAATGTCTTGGTTGGCCCTCTCTACACTACCTTGACTCTGGCTGTGCCTTAGTTTCCCATGTACAATTTTAGGTTCTGGCCAAGATATTTTCAAGTCTTCTATGAGCTTATTGCAAAATTCACAGCCATTATCAGACTGGAGGATGCAAGGTGTACCAAGAAGCAGAAATATATCAAGCGTGTACCAACTTCTTCAGCCCTCTTTGTTTGGAGGAGTCTTAAAAACAACAAAGTTAGTCAAATGATCATGTTTATGTTTAGTCAAATGTTTATTTTAGTGTACCAACTACTAAAATAAACTTAGATTTTCAGTCTCAACCTGATGGAAACTACATTATATCTACCTGACATCTTGAATTCATATGTGAAAATACCATTGGCTTTACAACACCTTCCTTCCACATGTTTCTTTTTTGTCGGCAAGACTTGCAAACACTCAAAAACATCTTTAAAACTTCAGTAGAAACAATGTTTGAATATTTGTAAATCATACTTTATATTCAACTAATAAATATTAAATTTTAACTTTGATAATAAATCAATAAAATGTTTAAACATCATAAACACTTACCAAAGTATGTTCATATGGATATTGTTTTTCTGGGTGCCAACACACTATTGTATTTCCATTATCTGTCATTACAATCCATTGATCTCTAAATGGATATTATTATTATTATTATTAATAAAAAATAAATGTATTTAGCTATAGCATTATTATTATACATACATGTTACCGATTGAAGTGGAATAAAAGTGAGAACCTATGGTTTTTCCATTATTTAACTTGGTATAATTACATTCTGCAATTTAAAATTATACTTTGAATATATATATTTCATATATTACCTTAATAATTCAAAATAAAATACCGTTTATCCTATTTAAAATTGGAAAATTACGACTTTTAATTAATCTAATAATACGATGCATAAGCATGTTTAGAGTTCTTGTTCTCTATTTCGCAGCTAGAGGCGCTGTAATCAGATTTTATTGACAAATGCTGGATTTTATATTACTGAAATGAAATTAATTAATTTAATAATACTTTATAACTAATATTATTAATATGCAAAATTATTAAAATTAAGCATTATTGTAATAAATCCGAAAAGAAATGATCACGGTAAGTTAGAATCTGTTTCACCAGCTACTATGCCCACTGTGGTGATTGATGCACCACTTGAGTGTTCGTTGATTTATAAAATAATCGAAGCTTTGTAAATAAATTTTCGTGGTGAGATATAATCACGTATAAGATTTTGTTTTACACTTATTGAGTAAAGTTCGATCCGTTGCAAGCATGCGTCGATACAGAACATTCACTTGTCGTGAGTAGTGTAGCCGAGACAGAGAGAGAGAATATGGCGGACGGACTGCACCTGTTTTTATAGCTCCATCTGGATTTTCAGATGCAGCGCTAGGTTACAATTATTCGGCCGTCACACACACCCCCACCAGTGACAACGAGAAGTTTGCCGTTATATAACCACAAATATCATTACGGTTAACCCGTCATAAATATCGCGGGTTGAATCGGACCCGTCGACCAGATCTGGTTGCGACCGGCGCTCGTCTGTCATCTGGCGTCGTCGCTCCTGTTGTCGTCTTAGCAGCTGTCTTCTGCTGTTTGAAAGTTAGAGGCGGCCCTCCGGACTCCGTATCTGGGCTTACCTCGATGGATGCCGGTTTTAACCGGTTTATGTTTATTGCAATCTTTCGACTGCCCTGTTCGATGGTGAAAACCTTGTCGTCTCTTGCTATAACACGAAAAGGACCCAAATAGACTGGTTGTAATGAGTTCCTTACCATGTCGTCGCGCATAAATACCTGTGAGCACGAGCTCAGTTCCTCGTGTACGAAGCAAGCTGTCCCGTTTGGTTGCCTGGTGGGTGTTGGGCGTAACTTTCCATGGTGTTCTTAAGACGCCCGACGAAGTTTGCTAGGTCGGGGTTGTACCTGCTTGGAGTAAAAAATTTACGGCAACCTAAGATTTTCACCGCAAATCATTTTAGCAGTGGAGGCTTATAGGTCTTCTTTGAACGCTGTTCGAAGCCCATAGAGAACCGTTGGGAGTACATGTGCCCAATCGTCTCCTCCATGGCAACGTAGGACTGCCTTAAGTGTGCGGTGGAGCCGCTCCACCATTCCATTCACCGCTGGATGATACGGGGTTGTGTGGATCTGTTTGATGCCCAGAGTTGTCGATAAAGAGTGGAAAAGGTTGGACTCAAATTGGCGTCCTTGGTCCGAGGTCAATCTGAGCGGAACACCAAAGCGACATATCCAATTCGCGTAAAAGACTTTTGCGATCGATTCCGCCGAGATATCGGCGACTGGAATACACTCAGGCCACCTGGAGTACCTATCGATACATGTAACGATGTAAAGCTTTGCGACGGGGAAAGCGGACCCACTATATCTATATGCACATGTTCGAAACGGGAACTGAGAGTGAGAAAGGTGCCTGGTTTTGAGCGAATATGCTTGTGCACCTTGGAGCGTTGGCACTGGAGGAAAGCGTGCGTCCACTTGGTAAAATCCGATCGCATTGACTCCCAGCAATATCGCTCGCTTACTAATTTTGCTGTTGCGCGGATACTAGGATGAACCAGACCATGAACAGAATCGGAGACCTGTCGTCTAAAATCCTTGGGAACAAACAGCCTGGCCCTGTTTGTTGACACATCGCAGTACAGCTGGGCTACTGAATCATCTATCGGCAGCAACTTCAGGACTAACCCGGTCGAGTTGGGGTTATTAAGTAACGCCTGAAGCTAGTCGTCTGTCTCCTGAGCTCTGGCCATTTCCAGATAGTTAATCGGCAGACTTGTGATTGTTTCTAAAGGCGACAGCGTGTCGGCTACAACATTTTCTTTGCCCTTGATATGTCGAATGTCTATCATAAACTCGGAGATAAAATCTAGCTGCCTAACTTGATGGGGTGAGCACTTGTTCGATTTCTGCATAAAGGCATTGGTCAGGGGTTTGTGGTCAGTATGTATTGTAAATGCACGGCCCTCTAGCATATGCCTAAAGTGTCGGACTGCCAAATAAGCCGCGAGTAATTCCCTATCGTACGCACTATACTTGCACTCCGCTGGTGTTAGCTTGCGGGAAAAAAAGGCTAGAAGCTTCCACTCGTTGTCCTGCTTTTGCTGCAGGACCGCACCTACAGCGATGTCAGAAGCGTCAACAATCAGTGTCGTCGGCGCCGTGGGATCGGGATATACTAGCAACACTAGTATATCCCGATCCCACTCGCGCTAATTTATCTTTGCGCTCATGGAAGGCTTTTTCTGAGTCTTCGTCCCAATTAATCGCACGGTTGTCGTTTTTTGCTGCCCCTTTAAGATTCTCGCAGAGGGGCGCCTGTGATTTTGCCGCATGGGGAATGAAACGTCGGTAAAAGTTCAGCATTGCCAGGAACCTACGTAATTCACGTACTGTTTTTGGTTGGGGTATTTGGCTTATTGCTGCAACCCTATCTGGCATGGGACTGACGCCTGCAGGGGTTACGCGATAGCCTAAAAATCTTACTTCAGATTGACCAAGGAGACATTTGGACGGGTTGATCCGTACTCCATATTCTTTGAAGCGTTCTAGGACGGTCTTGAGTGTTCCCAATGTTCTGCTTCGTTGGTCGAGGGCACTAACACGTCGTCGAAGTAGGGCACACAAAAGTCCAGCTCGCGTAGGACTTGATGAATGAACCGTTGGAAGGTCTGTGCAGCGTTGCATAATCCGAAACCCATGTATAGGAACTCGAACAACCCGAAGGGGGTGGTTACTGCTGTCTTGGGGACATCTTCCGGGTTCACTGGGATTTGGTGGTAAGCCCTCGCTAGGTCGAGCGTCGAGAAAATGGACTTGCCGCGTAACAGTTGTACACAGTCTTGTATATGGGGTATGGGATAGCGGTCAGGACTGTTACTGCGTTTAATCTCCTATAATCTCCGCAGGGCCTCCAGTCGCTGTTGCTTTTTCGCACTAGGTGCAACGGACTAGCCCACTGGATGCTGGATGGTCTGCAAATTCCTTGGGCCATCATACATTCGAACTCTTTCCTCGCTTGAATTTGTCGGGCGGAAGTCTGCGTGGCCTTCCTGCGACTGGCGGTCCCAAGGTTTGAATGAAATGGACGACGCTATGTTTGGGCGGTTCTGCTGGTGTAGATGGTGTGACTACCTCTGGAAACTCTGCGAGCAGACGTCTAAAAGGAGGAGTCGTCTCCAACGAGTGATAGTATCGGTGTTGACACCGTCACGGCTTTTCCTACGCTCGCAAGTTTAGTTTGGGTATCCAAAAGCCTTTTGTGTCGAATATTGACAATCAGTCCAAAGTTCCTTAGGAAATCCGCTCCAATTATTGGGTTGGATACTGCTGCTATTACGAACGACCATTGAAACGACAGACGCAGACCCAACTCCAATAATAATAGTCTCCGTCCGTACGTTTTGATCGTTGAACCATTTGCTGCGAAGAGTTGCAGTCGGTCTGGCTTTCTTCTTACTTCGGCCGGAGTTGGGGGAACTACAGAAATGTCCGCTCCTGTGTCTACCAGAAAACGCGTGGACGTAGCCCTATCATGCAAGAAGAGCTTGTGTCCCCTAGATTGGCCACCTCCCGTATCGTCGAGCGACGGCCCGATCAGTTTCCCGCCTGAAATTGGCAAGGGGACGTGCACTTGTTTGCTTTGTCTCCAAACTTCCGGTGGTACCAGCAGATCTGCCTTCCCTCTGATGTGCTTCTGTTTCGATGGGGGACGAAAACCAGCGGCTGCGATGCCTGCTACGTCGGTAGGGTTTTGACTCAATGATTTGCTGGATCTGGAGGGACAATTGTGCTATCTGCTCCTTCAACTGGGCGATCGCGTCCACGTGGTTCTCGGCGGACGGCGGTGACACGGTCTGAATCTGGCCCATCGGTGCGGTGACTTCGCAGATTTTATCAGCCAATTCGGCAGCTCGCGCCAGATCTTCGCCACTTACCGCTAGTATTTGCTGAGCGGCTGTTGGCAAACGCTGGAGCCAAAGTGTCTTGAGCACGTCGTCTGAAATTCTATTTGTGGCTAAATCTCGCATCTTTCGTAGTAATTGAGACGGGCGTTGATCCCCTAGCTCGATGTCTTGCAGCAACAGCCGTAGCCGTTGTTGTTCTGAATCCGCGAACTGGTTAATTAATCGGCGTTTGAGCGTGAGGTATTTATCTTTGTTTGGAGGTTGGACGACTATGTCGCTTACTTGCGCGAGGATTTCGCTCTCCATGGCCGCAATAACATGATTGAATTTCGTCTCGTAGGCTGTTATATTAGCGTTTGCGAATTGGGTCTCTATTTGGGCGAACCAAAGTGTCGGGTTAGCCTTCCAGAACGGTGGGGTTCTTACAGCCACCCGGGAGATTTCTGGCAAGGAGGTCGCCATTCTTCCGTTATCGTCGTTCGACATGTGTTATCCAGCACGTGTGAAAAAAGCGTAAAAATAAAAAAATAATTGTTACTTGATTGTTCTGAATGCCGGTGAATGTCTCTGGCACTACTAGTCTTCCGGACTTCGATGAAAATTGTATATGATAATAACGAATAAAGTCGTCATTAAGTCCGACTCCTCTGGAGATACGACCAGTCTACAGCTCAAATCGAATTCGGGCTATTGAAGAACCCAGGGCGGTCTATACCTGATGTGTAAAGTCCCGTGTCATACAGTCCTGCAGTCCACATCGTGGATCTTGAGAAACCAAAAATGGGTATAAGATTAAGACAGAACAAATCAAAACAAAAAACCACCAGCTGTCATGCTGCAAGTATGATGAAATATACGATAAGCACGAAGATCTTTAATGATCTTAGGTATGAGTTATCAATACTTCGAGCGAGATTTGTGCGCAGATAATTTCTTACCACACTAAATTTAACAGAAAAATTCATCACAAAACGATTATTGATGCTAATGTCTGAAATTCTATTTAATCCATGCAAGATGTGTGATTACCAGAGCCCCTACTCTCACTTCCTCAGCAGTTTACTTACAAATATAATCAAACACCAAACAATTTGCTGAGCTTATTATTTATTTACTGTTCAAACGTTTTCAGCCTACTTCTAATAGGCCATCCTCAAGACATTACTGTTCTACAATCGAATACAAAACTTTCGAATAAATTTAAAATTTAAACTTTTAACATAATTTTAAACATCTTTACAATAAATTGTAAACTATTAAATACTTAACTAAAATTATTTTTAACATACAAGTCGACCCTTTAT